ACGTGATTCTAATAAAAAAAAAACAGGTATAAACATGCTCAGAGAGCTACAGATAGGAAAGGGGAAACCGAAAGCAGCTTGGCTCAGGTTATAATATCAAATTTCTTTCAGAATCAGCGTCGAAATATTTTGGAAAACTGAAGAAATTGATTGAGGAGACGTATTTAGAAAACGGCAACAAAAAGATAACTTTGATGAGTCACAGTCTGGGATGTCCCTACACATTAGTTTTCCTCAACAAGCAAACACAAGACTGGAAGGATAAATATATTCTGCAATGGATTGCTCTTGCAGGTTCGTAAAGAATAGTAAATATTCATGGTAAACAGGGGTGTGGCAGGGTTTCTTTAAAGGAGGCTACACTGTGATACACCTAAGGTACCTACTGGACTGTCATATGGGTATCCAAGGTTTGTTTTCTTTGAAAAGTGACGTTTTGTGGGGAAAGCATCGAGTGATGCATGCCGCAAGGGCGGGGTGAGGTTAAGAGAACCTGATGACCCCGCTGGCTACTCCCTTGAATAGCATTTTATGGCTAATAAGCTCATCTATTCTCATCACTTATTTACAGGTTAATTCATTGAAATTACAAGGAACAGTTACGAAATATACATTATCAATTAAATAAAATAATTATTTTATTTTAAACAGGCGTTTTTGGCGGTGTAGCAGAAATGATTCATCTCTTCTCTGCCGGAGTTACCCTTGGTATCCCACACTTCCTTGTGGACCCAATTGACGTCAGAGGTCAGCAGCGAACATCAACTAGTAACGCCCTAATGATGCCTAGCCCTGAACTGTGGGGTGCGGGTGAAGTCTTGGCCAAAACACCTGATCGCGTCTACACGGTGAACGACTACGAAGAGTTTTTCAGAGATGTTGGGTTCCCACTCGGTATAAAGCTCAGAAAAATGGTGAAAGACCTGATCTACCCTTTAGCCGCGCACGCGCCTCATGTAAGGTTACACTGCTTGTATGGCACTGGAGTCCATACCCCTGCAAGCTATTTGTTTGGGAAAGGAGAGTTCCCCGATAAGCAACCAGAAATAATTTACGGCGATGGGGACGGCACAGTCAATCGACGCAGTCTGGAGGCCTGCGGTAAATTTAGCCAGCAGCAGAATTACGACGTCACGCTTAAAGGGTACGATTCAGTGAACCACGAAGGAGTACTGGGCGACACAAACGCGCTGAATTATATAAAGAGTGTTTTGTTCTAACGACCCTATTATCTTTAACAGTGAGATTATCAATAAACAAAACGGTTTAAAACTTTTCTTTAGTTGTCGGTTTTGTCTGTTAAATGCGCGTTCCTTCTTTTTACGCCTCTGAGCACACCTCTTCCGCAAAGTCCTCACCCTTCCCCGTCCCTCCCAAATCCCTCCACGACTGAGAGAACTAAGCTTGGACCCCAAGCATTTCTCTTGTAAGAATATCAAAAACTGTCGCGCCTCAGAAAACATCATCCATGAACCAGTTTTCCTCATTCAGAGACGTCGATCTCAGGAGATTACAATTTCCTGTTAGATTACAAAGTCTACAGAGGAGTTTCTTAATACTCAATCGTCATTGCGTGACCATTGCGTTATTTTGTGTCGTAACCATGATTAGGCGTACGTGACGGAGACCAGTCGATGTTCATGAAAATTCAAAAGAACATTTGATCGAAGAGTTCTCGTAACGTAGAAACGCGCCGTAGGATTACTCCGAGAGAGCACAGAAAATCGTAGCAACCGAACTAGCCATAGATCTTTTATTCTTACAATACAAAGAAGTGAATCAATAGACAGTTGATGGCATCAACAGGAAAAAATTTTGCCTCCGCGCAGAGTGTACCGAAGAGAATGGATTTCGATAGCGCTTTACAGCACGTCGGAGAATTTGGCCGCCATCAGAAACGAATTTACTTTTTGGTGAGCTTCATCTCGCTTCCTCTTTGTGCTCAGATGCTAATTGTAGTTTTTGTTGGTGCGATTCCGGAATGGAAATGTCCATCTCCTGACGGCGACATTCTTCACTGCAATTCAACCAGTGCGCGTTGTTGTGGAGAAGATGGCGCAATTTGCCGAGGCGCAAAGTTTCCTTCAGATTTTACGTCCATTGCAACAGAATGGAACTTAGCTTGCTCTCAACGCTATAAATGTGAGCTAAGTCAGTCGATCTTTGTGGCAGGATACATGTTTGGGGTTCTTATTTTTGGTATTTTGTCCGACAAGTATGGTCGACGGAAGCCATGGTTGTTTGCGTACATAGTCGGAGGTGTTTTAGCCCTCATATCTGCCACTGTCCGCTCTTACGAGGAGTACATCGTGTTACGATTCGCGATGGGGCTATTGAACGGCGGGGGAGGCCTCATAACTTATGTGTTGTCCACAGAATCAATCGGCCCCTCGTATCGCGGTAAGAGATGTAATATTTATTATTGTTAATACTATTATTATAATTATTATTATTTCTGTTATTTTAAAAATTTTCACCATCATTTTACAAATAGAAGTGGGGAAATTACTGAATTTTATTTTTGTGGTAAGTTTTTCCAAGTGTTTTCTGATCGATTCTTCCGCTCTGGGTTTGACATCTTATTGGCCAGTGTGGTGTGACTTTTCTAAATAAATCATGTGACTAGAGTTGGTTAAAACTTATCACCTTTTTTTTTTTTTTCCCAGGAACTGCAGGTACATGGCAGCAGGCCTTCTCTGCTGTTGGTTATGTCTTTCTGGCAATAGAAGCTTACTTCATCCGCAATTGGCGCACTTTGACAGTTATTTCAATTTTTCCCTCGTTTGTGGTGTTACTGGTTTTCAAATCAATTCCTGAATCTCCAAGATGGCTTGCCTCACAAGGAAAAATAAAAGAGGCAGAACAAATTCTAAAGAAAATCGAGAAAGAAAATGGTTTCCAGAAGAACGAAGTGGTATTTCTGAAAACAGATGCCAAGGGAAACACGGAATCTTCTCAGTATGGAATGATAGACTTATTTACTCACAAGTCTGTATGTGCTATCACAGTTATCATGATGCTTATATGGTGTGTGAATAGTATGGTGTATTATGGACTGGCATTGAATGTGAAAAACCTTGGGGGAAATCTGTACATCAACTTCTCTCTGGCCAGCTTGATCGAGCTGCCTTCCTATTTTGTCACTCAATTTTTACTGGCTAAACTTGGTCGCAGAAAAGGCTTATTTTGTCTTCTACTAGGTGCAAGTGTTGCATGCTTCTTGTGTATGTTCCTACAACTACAAGGTGGGCAGAATGTGGCGGTAATTTCTATTGCAGCATTAATTGGCCGGTTCTTTATCTCTGCATCATTTGCCGTTCTGTATGTTTACTCTGCTGAACTTTTCCCTACAGTTGTGCGTAATGTAGGTATGGGGATTTCAAGTCTTTCAGCGCGATTGGGTGGAATGGTAGCACCCTTTATAGTCCTACTAGGGGATAAAAGTGCATCTTTCCCAATGTTTGTTTTTGCTTGTACAGCATTGTTTGCCGCAGTGACCAGCTTGAGACTGCATGAGACACAGGGAAGACCAATGCCAGAGACATTTGAAGAGCTTGATGAAAACTATGTAAGGAAACAAAAGACAAATGGTGACCATGAGGGGGCTGATAGCTTGCTTTAATAGGACCTGCAAGGAACACATTTAAATCAATCAAATCAATTATTATATTTCTCCAGATGTGAAGCTCAACTTGCGTCAGCAAAATCTAACATTGTCTGTTCTATCTTAAAAGTGCTCACCTTTGTTCAGTGTTAGAGAAAAGATAGACTAAGCTGACAGAGAGAAATTTAGTAAATTTGAAAGGGAACCTCAGGGAGTCCTGTTCCCATTCACAATGCCCCTTAACAATTTAAAGAAATATACAAACATGAAAAAATGTGAAATCAGATTGCTGTCTCAAAGTATTAAAAGTATTGGTTTTGGGTTCTTTGGGTAGCTGTCTTAATTAAGCATGTCACAATAGTGCAACCATTCTATGGGTGCCATGCAATGGGCACTGCTTGACATCCGTTACAATGACTGCACAGAAGTCTCCTCTTAAAATAATAGTTTCACAGAGGTGATAGTGAAACACAAAGGAACAAGGATGACAAAAACAGAGTAGATTACCATGGATTACAAAGGCAATGTAGAAAACTGTGTGCAAATTGAAATTAAGAGATCCTCGCAGCTAAGAAACACTTCTGAAACGAGTAGTTGAAAATAGGACCTGAAAAAAATTCAGGCCCATAATTAATTTCATTTCTTCACTGCAGTGCAAATATATGAATTTCATACATCAAAAACCATCGTGTATGCAAATTATTGTGATAGTGACAAAGCCCCATTCAATTTATTGCATATTTTATGAACAAAATTTTGTATTTCTCCTGTTATCCTTTGGTACTGACAAGGAGAATTCATTTAACAAGAGAGTGTTGTTAGGTTGGTGAGTGTTGTTAGGTTGGGTAGATCCTTTCTCTCCCTTTTTTTTTCAATTTTTCCTTTCCTTTGAGGAAGGTAGTGATTCAACTCTGAAAAAATAGATTTTCCCCAAGCTATGTTTCTAAAATAAAGGCTTGTTAAAAAAAATTTGCAGTTTCTAGATTCAAAGCCACTTTGGCTAGACACCCATCTAGAATAACCAGCCACATAGTCAAGTTTTGAACCAATGACAACAACCACCCTTCACTTTTGTCATCTTTGGTTTTCTGGGTTACATGTTCACCTACTTTCAATATAGCTACACCCTACCATTAGCGCTAAAATGATACTCTTCCATTTCCTGAACACATCAGAATAGTTCAAGCTTAAAAAGTTAAAAATAAAGTGGCAATAAAAACAGATTTCATTTGTGTCCTTGATGTTAAAGAGAGGGATTAGGGGGGTTTATTCAAAGGGGCCCCTTGTTTGATAATACACCTGGGAGGGAGAGGGGTTGAGGGCTTATTCAGAGCACTTCTGAGAGTGTAGGTACTTATTCAAGGAAATACAATTTTTTTTTTTATTTTGCATGAAAGTAAGTTACATGAAACTGGCCAGCTAAATCCTACCACATCTGTACTGTGTCTAAACTTGCATCCCTAGAATTGTGTAAGTATAAATAAATATAACATTTTTTAAAATAATTCTGTGCCTGATAAACCCTTTAAGGCTGGTAAACTTAGTGATCACACCAAACACATCCCCTCTTGTGAAAAACAATTGCATTGTGAGCAATCTTAAATGTAAAATCTGTCATTAACCCTTTAACTCCCTGAAGTGATTAACAAGTAACTTCTCCCTATAATATCTAAACACTATCCAGCAAACGTGTCATGAGAATATTCATGCTTATCAGGTTGAAGTTGTTACCTCGATCTGACACCAAATTCTCGTATCTTATTTACAAGGAAATGTGTAGCAGCCAGAGGGGAGAATTAACAAACAGATCGTGGGAGTTAAAGAAATAATATGACTAATATTTTTTGTCAACCCTTTCAAACCCAAGTTCTCACTTCAAATCATTCTTACTGCTAAATCCATTTTGCAATTTTAGTTCTAAGAATTTGATGTATCCCTTACTTAAACCTTTCACTCCCAGATCAAATTTGTTATTCTCCTTACTGTCAATCATACAATTCTTATAATGTTAGTTCAGAGAGTTTAGTATTGAATTAACTATTTATCCCCAAATTGATATTTTTCTTTATTCTCATCACTCATCTGGTCGATATTATATTGATATTGTAAGGAGAAATTCTGTCTTGGTCACTCATGGGAGTTAAAGGGTTAACTAATATTTCCTCTTTATTCTTGTCCCCTTTATACTTGTTCTTGTAATGCCAACCTAAGAAGAAATTACTCATTGATCACCCCTGTTGGTCATACAGTGGAAGTAATAAATTACAGTCATAACAAATGAAAGTAAGGTTAATGATAGTAATAATACCATCTGATAATTTCATTGTTACAGTTGTGTGTGGACTGAGAACAAAGGATATTTCACATTTTAGCCCTAAATTCTCCATACTCTTCACTATACATGTCCTTTCATACAGACATGGAGAATTTGTTTAACAATCAAATCTTCTTAGTTTGGCCATCATTTCCTTTATTCTCATGATCTTGAAAAAAATTTATATGCTGGTCACTCTTGGGGGTTTAAAAGGTTAACCCTTAGCCTCTCAGAGTTACTAGCATCTAATTTTCCCTTACTATATCACCCCTGAATCAAACATGAAAGTCATGAGAATAGATGAAATGATCACCAACTAAAGCAGCTCTTGATTGTTACACAAATTCTCCTTGTCAGCCTCTTTGGAAATGTATAGAGAACAGTATGGAGAATATGCATACTGATGTTAGGGTGTAATGGATTAATACTGCAGATAAAATGTTTTGTTGTGAATTATGTTTTAATGACTTTAACATCCTCTTGCTTTGATCTCTCCAAATCTTCCATTGTTTCGGGCATTGGACGCCCTTTTGTTTCTGGAAGCCTTAGACCAACTAACCCAGCCACTAATGACATACAAGCAAATATGAACATTGGTAAAGATCTGCTTTGTTCTCCCATTAGAACAACAAATGGACATAAGATTCCACCAATACGCGATGCCACAGTTGCCATGCCCATGCCAACATTGCGGATGACAGTTGGAAAGAGTTCTGCCGCATAAACGTACAACACAGCAAATGATGCTGAGATGCAAAACTTCCCAAACATGGCTGCTACTGACTGTGCGCCAGCATTTAAATTTTCTTGTTGCTGCAGTTTCATACATGTCCAGCATGAGCCTGCAGCACCCATCATGAAATAGAAAAGAGATTTGCGGCGGCCTGACCAGTTGAGTAGTAAGACTGTCAGCAGGTAAGATGGGATTTCTACCAAGCCAGCTAAGACAAAATTAAAGTACATATTACCACCTAGGTTTTTTACATTCAACGACAGGCCGTAATAGACATGACTATTTACAAACCAGCTTATGATCATTATAAGGGTTATAACACAAGTGCTTCTGTTCAAAAATAAGTCAATGATTCCATAACTTCTTCCCGTTGAGCCACCTTTTGCGGTTCCCTTCTCACGTCGAAGTGTCACATGTTTATTTCCAGAACCATTTTCAACAGAGATCTTTGATAAGATAGCTTCAGCTTCATCATATCGGCCTTGGGTAGCCAGCCACCTAGGAGATTCTGGAATTGTTTTAACAATGAAAAAGCCAAATGTTGTAGGAAGAGCTGACACTATGGTAAGATATCGCCAATTTGGAATTAGATAAGCCATAAGTCCTAGTAATGCAACAGCTATAGCAAAAAAGACTTGAAGCATGGTTCCAGCAAAACCTGTGGAGATTAAAAATATTAAAAATTGGCTTCTTCAAGGTTTTTTTTTCTCAAAGATTACTTGAAATTTCTTTGATTAAATGCAGAGTTTCAATCATGAATGTGGTAGTAGGAGGATAGTGTTAAATAAGAAGATAATATTCTCCACATCCAAAAAAAAAAATAGCTCCTGAAGGCAATTAAAAGTTAGCCAAAGAATTCAGCTTAGTGATGGTAGCCATAAAAATATTTGATCTCCATGCCTGAGAAAACCCCTCAGGTTTTTATTAGTTTAGGCACACATGTGTATACAACTTAATTTTAGGCAGCAAAATTTCAAAAATTGAAAAATCTCTGAAAAGAAAGCACCCCTGAAAAGGCTATGTCTCACAAAAATAAGCACTGAGGCAACAATGGCAGTGCTCTCTGGCTTTTTCTACCCACTTTCCCCACCTCCCTCTCCAACACCCGAGCCAAAATGGTGAAAAGAGTGAGAAACCATTGATATAAGTTTTGCCTCATCTTTATCTCAAGATTAATATGATCACTGTGTGATCTACATCAAACAACATAATGAGATAATGGTAAATAAAATTTCATAGTCCCTAACAGTTTTCAGTTTTGAGCAACTTAAATCCGGACCAGAATTTAACTTTCCCCCCCCTCCCCCCCCTCAAAAACCTTTTGATATTGGGTATTACCTCTGTAAGAGGGACCGATTGATTCTGTTGCCAGCACGAAAATAATTAATCCTCCTCCACCGGCAAAAATCCCGACGAGAAACCTCAAAGTCACAAAGACATAATAAGATGGCGAAAGTCCTGACAGAAAGGCTAACGCTCCAGATAAAAAATAAGTGGAAACCCATAAAGGCTTTCGACCATGTTTATCAGCAAGGCCACCGATCAGTGGCGCTCCTACCAAGGTACCAGCCATGAAAATAGATTGAGTGAGTTCATTCTTGTACGTTTGACCACAAAGGAGGTTCCACTCTGTAGCGATCGATGTAAAGTTCGTGATAAATTCCGCTCCATTACAAATAGAACCGTCTACCGAACAGCAACTTTCTAGCGACTTGCAATGCTTCAAGTTCGCTCGATCGCCTTTTGGACAGACCCATTTCGGTGTTGCAGCAGTGAATACAAGAACAAGCATTTGAAAGAACATAGGCAACGCCGAAAGCGATATAAGAAAGAAGCGCTTTCGCTGGTAACGACCAAATTCACCCACCACTGTCAAAGCACTGTCGAAGTCCATGTCGCAACTTATATGACGGTCTCTATGATGAGCTGGCGCTTAAAAGAGGAGAGAATCTGGGGCGAGATTTTAAACGTCACTGTGGGGGAGAGGGAGAGGGAGAGAAAATTAAAAGAGATCTATGATGATTTTAGATATATGAAATTCATATATTTGCACTGCGGTGAAGAAACGAATTTAAGAGATTCTCGCAGCTAAGAACACTACTGAACTAGTAGTTGAGAATGGGACCTGGAAAAAAATTCAGGCCCGGTATCGCAGAGGTCATGAGTTCAAATCCCGTACGGGCCTGAATTTTTTTCAGGTTCTATTTTCAACTACTACTTCAGTAGTGTTCTTAGCTGCGAGGATCTCTTAAATTCGCAAAAGAGATCTACAAGAAAAATAGGTTTTGAACGCGTACAAGATGCGATGGCGTGCAATACCTGAGCTCGCATGCCATCCAAACCGTTATCAGCAGAATGTCCCCATGGAGCTCATTTAGGAAAAAACAATTCGATCACAACGCATTCACCTTCGCCGAAAAAAGAGAGAAAAAAACCTAAGTTTAGAGGGAAAATTTCCTTTTTTTTCCCTACGTTCCTTCGACAGACTGAACTTCCTAGTGTATGAACACAGCGTGCGAAAGTCAAAAAGATGACTTTGTTTTCACTTTTTTATGTGGTGGAATAAAGCTGGGTAAGAATTCAAGTTAAGCTAAAAAAATAGAAAAGATGATGGAACAAAATACGATGTTGCAATCGGTAGGAAACATTTTTAAAAAGCATTTTATGTCCTAAGGGCGGTGTCAAAGCGTAATTAGAAGCCCCACCATTCCGCAGGCGGCAAAAGACTTAACAAAGCCTCAGCTCTTTCTCTCACTTTGAACAATAAAATTAAAAAGACGTCATATGTTTCCGTTCCGTCGTCAGAGCCAATGATAAATTTGCTTTTGACGGACCGACAGCGAAAATATTTTTCACTGTATGCTCGGCAGCGAACGCAAAACCAGGCGAACTACAAAAGTTGAATTCAACTTTTGCAATGAGAGTTCTTATCGACGGAATCATTGCAGTCGGTATATTCTACTTGTATCTTCTCCCAGCCAAGAAGTACAATGTCTGGGGGCAACCGAAGCAAAATATCACCATTGCGGCGCTTGCTCCCATGACAGGTGAGTGGGATGTTGGTCGAACGACGGCCGCCGCGATGCCCATTGCCGTCGAAGATATCAACAACGATCCATCTATTCTTCCGAACCATCGGCTTCAGTTTGTGTTCGGAAATACAAACTGTTCACCGAACACAGCGCTACCTTTAGTAATGAACTTCTGGGCGCAGCAGAAGCGAGGAGTTGACGCCTTTATTGGGGGTGGATGTAACCGAGTGTGTGAATACATCAGCTTGTTGGCTGGAAAATGGAATCTGCCTGTCATATCATGGGGGTGTATGTCTGCTCATTTGTCCAACAGAAACACTTTCCCAACATTTGTACGGACTGTAGGTGAGTTTAATCAGACACTGTTCTTCGAATTCATCAGAGATTGCATATCATTACCCGCTTCTTCTTAAGGAAGGAATTGTTCGGTGTTATTATGTAAGCATATTTTTTTTTCTTTTCTCTTGTTTCTGAAGGTCCCTACACCAAAATGGAAAAGTTGCTTAAACGTCTGATGGAACATTTCAACTGGAAACGAGTAGCCATAATCGCCTCCACCGACGACATCTGGCAGATCGCGGCTAATCTTGTGAAGATTGAGCTCCTGAAACACAAAATTAACGTCGCCCACTTTCATTCTTTTATACCTGGTCGTCTTCATATTCTGGAGAGCAGGATTGTAAGACACGCTGATCTCATTCGTAGAGCAGCAAAACGTGCAATGAGTAAGTATAAATGAATGAAGTAGCAAACTGACGAGAGAACGAACGAAAGAATGGATAAAAAATCAGAAACGAACACTTCTGGGGAGTGGTTCCGATAACAGTGTTACTGCGCCTTCCATGCTGTCCTATTAACCGTTTCATTACATGTAACTTCTCCTATAATATCTATACATTTTCCAGTAAAACAAGTAATGAGAATACTCAAATTCGTCAGTTAGAAATTATTATCTTGATCTAGCACAAAATTCTTCCATCTAATTGACCAGGAAATTAGCACCAGAGGGGAGGATTAACAATCAGATCTTAGGAGTCAATGGGTTTAATTAAGACCTCTCCTCACACCGGAGGACAGCGATCAAAAGTCAAACACGCCTTTTCGGGCCGGGGAAGGAGGAGGCAGTAAATCGAGATGAAAGTAATTAAGAGAATTAGTAGTGTTAGAAACCGCGATTTACTAACCGACTGGGTCTCTTGAAATAAATACAATTTTCCAGCTAAAAAAAATTTTAATTTGCAGTTTTCATACTTCTCTGCGATGGAGGCGACATCCGCGAAATCATGTTGAACTTTCTGGATCTGGGGCTGTTAAACGGAAACTATGCTTTCATTACCGTCCACTTGCCCAAACGGTGAGTTTTTACGTTTGTGAAGCGAAATTTGACGGGCTTAGGTATTCGTTATTCACTGTGACGTCATTATGTGAATTGCAGTTCTTACATCGGCAACAACACGTGGATGGGTAATGACGGAAGAGATAATGACGCTAAGAAAGCTTATGAAGGGGTGTTGAATATCGAACAGAAGTTTGGAACAGAGAAGCGTTCAGGTGCTAAAGTATCGGCGTTTGTGGACCGCATCAAGAAGCGAATGAAACAAGAACCGTTTAACGTGGACTTTCCAGAAAACAGAACGGTGAGTAACTATTAGGCAGTTTTTTTTTTACATCCACCTTAGGGGGTATAGGTAGTCCACTTCATCTGACCGGGGTGCTCATGGTGTCTTTTGGGGAAAAAATTTATGAATTGGTATCACATAAACTCTTCAAAATTAGTGAAAAATGACCGGAACTGCAACTGTTTGCGAGCCCAGCCTGCATACCACAACCTCTCGCTTGCAAACAAACATCCAAATATTAAAATAGAACTACGATCTTTTAGGGATGAGGGTGGGAGGTAATTGCAATGAGCTAACATCCCGTCTCAGGGAGTGGCAGTACTCCTTATCTCATCATGCTTTTGGAATTTACAAGCGCCGTTATAAATTTTTAGTAAAACAGTGAGCCAAAAAGCTCGTAAGACTTTCTCAGCCAAGCGACCTTGGCGCTCATCTTAGAGGGTTCATTGAATAATTGACGTGTCTCTTCACCTGATCAATAAACATAATATCATTTCTCTTATCTCAGGTGGAGGCGTATGCAGGAACAATGTACGATGCCGTTTGGTTGTACGCCCTTGCTGTGAACGAGACTCTGGAAATGGGGACAAGTATTAGAAACGGATTAGAAGTCGCTAAGAGAACATACAACAGACTTTATGAAGGTATTCTGTTAATGTCTATTAGTTTTCTTGTGCACAACATGAAGTTCACCGATGCTGAAGCACAGTCAATGTGCTGTGCGCCATTATAGTTTTAATGATCACTCTTTAAGATAACGAAGATACCCCATTAATAAAATTTTATAATTTTTTTTGGAAAATCTTTTTTAAAAGTTCCGTACAACAATCGGTGAAAATACCTTAGTTAGGAGAGAACGATGCTAAAGGACCGAAGCGCTCCTCCTCCTCCTCACTCCCTCTCCCACCTTCAATTAAACACAACGTGCGCATTTATTTTTTAATGAACCCGCATTATGCTCCCAGGTATCGCAGGCCCAGTGTACATGGACAGAAATGGCGAGAGAGATCCTGATTATGTGATTCAAACTCTCATCGATGACCGATTTGAAGACATCGCGTATTACACTCGATACAACGACAATTTTACTATCAGGGAGGGTGTGACCATCGTTTGGCCAGGAGGGGTAACGACTGCACCGAATGATAGTCCCGAGTGCGGATGGGACGGGGAGCTTTGTTTAACAGACAGCCGTAAGTACTGAGAAGCTGTCTCTTATAAAATTCCATTTTAACTTAGCTTGTGTGCTTTTATAATTATGTTCTCCCTTTGGTTACCCAGTTGTGTCCACAAAATTGTATACTAATGTACTGAAAATGTTTTGCGAAGTTCTCCGTGTTCTCCTCTTGAATTTTAAGCGCTGTTTTCCTACAATATATTTCTCACATCTCACGACCCCTCATTTTTAAAATCTATCACTTGTAGTTGGAAATTCTTGGCTTTCAGGTTTAGAGAGACTTCTTGCTTTCGTGGTGGAACCTGCGCTCAATAACGACAGTTTCGAAAGCGTGATTATATATTCTGATATGCATGGGTTTTTTTCTCTATTTCCCCAGAGGACAGCACGACTTATATCATCATAGCTTGCTGTACTGTGTTTGGATTTGTCTTTGTCACCATGGTTTTTGTCTTCGTTTACAGGTACATTCTCCATTTGACTTGTTATTAGGAGTTAACAAAATAAGTGCACTGCGCCTCAATAGCTTAGCCGGGCGGAGGGAAGGGGGAGGGGAACACAAACTTACTGAGGCTGGGTGGGGGTGTGAAACTGATGCTGATTTAGAGGCCAGCACAAAGCCTTTTATTTAATTTTCCTTCAGGAAGCTGATATTCGAGCTGGATCTTGCCCAGAATCAAACTTGGAAGGTCAAATTAGAGGACATTGTATTCCGGGACACTGTTAACCTGTTTGAGACCTCGGTAAGTTGAGTTAATTGTATCGTACAGCTTCAACGATTGAGTATTTAGATCATAACAACGCCTATACTATGGATCCTAAGAAAATGATTTGTCGACTCGACCACTTAACAAGTAAGTTTTATTGTACTTAATCCTGAGTCGAGCGTGTTAACCATCAGGCCTCCTTCATGCGAAAGTTGGCTCGATTTTAGTTTGATTAGTTGTGATCAGCATGGGGAACCACCATCGTTATATCAAATATCATCGTTCATGCACAATGTCACTTCGATATTTTGTTTCATTCCGTATGTAAATATCAAATTTTATCTCGACAGAACATGAACCTGGGTTCACTTAGGAGCATGAAGTCTCAGCTAATAGTAACTCGCCCCAGTCGCCCCAGTCGCCTCAGTAGCGTCGGCAGCACTAAGTCATGTGCTAGCTTAAAGTCAGCTGACACGCAGTGCTCAGCCAGATGGAGCTTGCACGAACAGGTCTTCTCATCTGGCTTTACCAACATCGCTTTTAATAAGGTAAAAATGGTTGGTTGCATGAGTGGATGTTTGGCTATTTTTTTTTCCAGACTCCTCCGATCGTTTTCGCAGGGGACTGGACAACAGTCACGTGGAAACCTTGCGGTAACCAGATGAATAACCTCTTAACCCTTTAACTCCCAGAAGTGATTCACATGTTACTTCTCCCTACAATATCCATGCACTATCCAACAAACAGGTAATGAGAATACTCAAATGTATCGGGTTAAAGTTGTTATCTTGATCTAACACCAAATTCTTGCAACTAATTTACAAGAAAATGTGCAGCAGCTAGAGGGGAGAATTAACAATCAGATCTTGGGAGGTAAAGGGTTGAGAGAAAAACCTTATTTAATATTTTTACACACCCTCATGTTTCCATTCTTTAATTAAAGATCTTGCCGAAACTTGCTGTGTCAGCAAATTTTTGCCGTATTTCCGTAGCACCATACCAGATCTAATATTTTTGGTCGTTTTTTCTCCTTATTCGTTGTTTCTTTCCTGCTTTTTGTCTGATACACTCATTTTTTCATGTATTTAGGGAGAGCTTGTTGTGGTTAAACACACTAAAAAGAAGGATCTGAGAATTTCCCGTAAAATCCTGATTGAAGTTAAACAGGTAAGGATGCCAGCTTAATCACGTGTACATAATCAGAGAGCCTCGATTTTTTGTACTAGACTCAGTCTTCCTGGCTCACATCAAACACATAGCTACCCCATCGAACTTTGACCATTTTGTTACAATGTGACGCAGTCTACTCCCTCAGTGACTTGCCTATACTGTTATTTTAGGCACGAGAACTACGCCATGAGAACATTAATCCCTTTATCGGAATCTGCATCGACTCGCCTCAGGTCATGATTCTCTCCAAGTACTTGAAACGAGGCAGTCTTCAGGTATGTAAAGATTTAGTCTCGTTACCATGCTGTGCTTGTCAATGAGCCTGCAATGATTGCTTAGTAACAGATTGCGGTTTATCAGTTGTATTTGTTTTTAATTTTGTATTGAAATCGTACTATTAAACCTTTTGCGTAGGATCTTTTGGAAAATGAAGACTTCAAGCTGGAAGAAATTTTTATCCTTTCCTTGGTTCGCGATGTCGCAACGGTAATGTGTTGTTACTTATTAGATAGTACGGAAAGTTTATCGTCGATAAGAAAAAATTATGACCGAGTTGTAAAAGTAAGGAGTTGAGAGAGGGTTGTTTATCGTTTTCGGAATCAGTACACTTTTCTGTTGAGTGTCATAAAACCAAAAACACGTGATCACAAAAAGGGACACATCCCAAGGAGCCAATGAAAAACGAGGTATTTTGTAAATGGATGAAATTTGCGGGGAAACATGAATTGTCAGGTCGCGATGGGATTCAGATTTGCATCCGATTGGTCGAGTGATTGATGGGCTAACCATAAGTCCCGGATGTTTTTAGACATTTCATTTTAAAAGTTTCCTTTTTAGCTGAAACAAATCCTTGATGATCATAAGTAGTTTCACTAAGCCGTTGTCGTTTAAAAAAACAATTATGATTCAAACTACTCAGAAGTGTGTATTGTTGAGTTTAAGCCTTGTTTCGACGCAGGGAATGATGGTGTTGCATAATAGTCCAGTGCAAGTGCATGGTCGTCTCAAGTCCTCTAACTGCCTGATTGATTCGCGTTGGGTATGCAAGATTGGAGACTGGGGACTAAGTGAGCTTCGGTCACCATTAGACCGCTGTCAATTGCAAGAAGGGTCTGAGAAATACAATGGTATGTCACGTAATGTTTTAACCCTTTAACCTCAAGATCTCATAAGCAATTCTCCTTACTGTCTGCCATACGATTTCATTATGTTAGTTCGGAGAATTTGGTATTGAATAAACTAATAATCCCCTAATTAATATTTTTCTTTATTCTCATCACGTGTCTGCTTGATGTTGTATTGATATTGTAAGGAGAAATTCTGTCTTGGTCACTCATGGGAGTTAAAGGGTTAAATGCACTAAGTGTCAAAAGCCGACTCGTATAAAAAACTTTTGGCAACCATTTCTGTATGTGGGGTAATAATACGGAAAGAAGTTGATTGGTGCCGCTGCCCATTCTCTACAAAAATATTTGCGGTTGATTAAATTTAAACCAAACGTAGTGTAATGTGAGGCAACTTCGTTGTGGAAAGCATGATTTGATCGTGTGGTGTGATTCTCCGGGTAAAGGTAGTCAAATTTCGGACGGTAACGTTCGATTTAATTTCATGACAAAAATCGATTTGCCTCTTCTACTGGAAACTTCTCTTCAGTAAATTGACAAGATAATACTAAGGTTTTCTCGTAAGATTTTTGATTTGCTTGAAGATTTTTCTTTTTCGATCTCTTTGTAGATATGTTGTGGTGTGCTCCTGAACATATCAGTGATGGCGAAATGGACCACAGGGGATCCCAGAAAGGAGACGTGTACAGCTATGGTATTATTCTACAGGAAATTGCCATCAGAAAACCACCGTACAGCATGTACACGTTTGAGCCTCAAGGTAATATAAAAAGCGTGCATTTTGATAGCCTTTCTCGCGCTCTCAGTAAATAAGGACGAAGAATACGCGGGAGAAATGAGATCTGATTGGTTAAGAGGACGACGCAGTTATTCTCCATGAATCCCAAAGCGAGGTGAAACAAAACCAGTACATACAATAAACAGTTTCCTCGTGTTTTTCTCGCACTTTGCGTGCACTTTCTTCACTTCCCTGCTCGCAAAAACAATAACTCTTGTTACTCTATATTATTTGTTAAAGACAGACAAGATTTGTAATCTAGTAAACTGCAAAAAGTATGGGAAAAATTGCGCACCATCCCAATCGTCACTTATGACCTCTGCCTTATCGGTTGGGAGTAACATGTCTTTACTATGTGACAGGTGATATGACTTGGTACGATTTTCTGAAGTAGTTTCATCCTCAGTGAAAACAGAGAGAGCCTGGAAAGAAATATTTGTTCGTTTTCGTTATTCTCGGCAGAGATCATTGCCCGTGTCATGGCCCATGAAGATCCTCCATTTCGCCCCGTGGTCGAGGAAAACGCCTGCAAATCGGAATTGCAGTCCCTTATGACGCAGTGCTGGGATGATGATCCTGACCGAAGGCCTCATTTTAATAAGATCCTGGATAGGCTCCGTAAAGTCATGGGCAGGTAAGTTGACTTTGTCATCACACACTCATTCCCTTCTTTCTATTCCAGAAAACGGTTTTAGAACTGTTTCCCATTTTTCTTGGAACTTTTCAGCTTGAGCCTCGGCTTTTGATGGATGTCTTGCCACATGGTTAGCTAAGAAATCTAAACTTAGGCTTTCTCATGACCTCACATCTCTGACACCAATGTTACTTCAACTCTATTTTTTTAGAGAATTATGACACCCTAGATCTCTGAAAATTGCATGGCCGGCAAGAAACCCATGTAGTAGACTTGAGGAGAGAGTTTCTTGTCAATTTTACGGGCATAGAAAGAAAAACCCGAATCTACAAATAAACGAAAGGGCTTAATTTTTCCGAATGATCAGACTTATATGATCTTTTTTTTTTTTTTAAGGGACGTGAACATTATGGATAACATCATGGCTCTTATTGAGAGGCATGCTGAAAATTTGGAGGCACTGGTTGAGGAAAGAACACTGTTGTTGATGGAAGAGAAGAAGAAAACAGACAAACTTCTTTATAAAATGCTACCAGTGTAAGGAACCATACTGTAGTAAAATAACTAATTTCGCTATACCTCTTTGCCATTCTAAGCCATTTTTGTTATTTGTGACTTGGTTAACTTCTATAATACCGTCCCTCAGAATCAAATAATCATTATTGGGTGTCCTGTGATCTAAGTATGACAGCAGTGTCTTGTGATCCACTTTCATCTCCGCTATTATTAGTCATCTTCATTTCCAAGGAAGTGCGTATCATTTGCGACTGTTTCTTCATTGTATTTAATCATTATTGTTTGGTTTTTCTCTATGTTTTGTATTTTGTATTTTTATGAGCTTCATGATACCTGGTCACGATGCATTTGTTTACTACGCAGTGCTGTTGCAGAGCAGCTGAAGCTTGGTAAGCCTGTGACTCCAGAGTACTTCGACGAGGTCACGATATATTTCAGTGAAATAATGGCGTTCATTGATCTGGCTTCAGAAAGCACACCAATGGAGGTGAGACAATATCACTGAAACTCATGTCATGAAAAGCAACTCATTTCCTTTTGTAAAGTAAGCATGAGATTGTTGGTTGCTCAGTCGCAACGCTCACAGACGGATTCTTGTTTGTATGCCCGAGCTATGACGCAACATTGTCAACTTGCATCTTTCTCCTAAGCTTCACGCTCTGTTCAGTTGCAATAGTTTCTCTGGTTTCATGAGCAACAGTGTTTTGAACGCATTTCCTTCAGGAATATCTAGATGGCTTTCTGTATTAAAATCTTACTTCGAGTTCTCACCTTCCTAGAGTTCGAAAAAAAGCTTTGCAGCAGTGTATGATGAACCGTTGAAAATACACACCACTTTTTCCGACAATCAAGACGATTAACTTCTTTCCATTCTAGATTGTTGCATTTTTAAATGACTTGTATCTTGCTCTGGACAATATTCTTGGAAACTACGATGTTTTCAAGGTAAGTAATGCAAAAGATTGACAGCCGAGACCATTTATTCTCTGAATCTTCCCCGAAAGAGTTCATTGAAATTCGAGTAATCTTCGAATATTTACGTTAAGGGTTTGTTTTTTTCCTTCTGAAAATAAAAGAAAATTGACGTTGCCTTACAAGTTGTTCGTAAGTGACGTGAAAGAAGAACATTGCTGAACCAAGTTGGTAGAGTCGAGCACTTTTTCAGTTCTCAGAAGGGGGAAAAACTATTCTTATTTACTCTTCTTCGTAGGTAGAAACAATCGGTGATTGTTTGTTGGTGGTGTCAGGCCTGCCAGTCAGGAATGGTAACCGCCATGCGGGAGAGATTGCAGACATGGCGTTTGACATTCTGAGTCTGATGACTCACTTCAAGATTCGGCACAGGCCACGGATGAAGCTGCAGCTCAGGGTTGGACTGCACAGCGGTAATACTGTGATTCGTTCCCAGTGTCGGCTCAGTGTCTCTGCCAGTAGTTTGTTTGACGAAACTGGTGACACATAGTCAAAATAATGCTAGAGTCAGCAGACCTGAATCAAATGCTACGTCACATTTATGTGGTCAATAACGCGGGAGCAATCGCACGAGGTTTAAAATTCGGCAAAGTTTGCGGAGAAAAAAGGCCAGGGCTGATATAAAAAAAAACCGAGGCATTTTGCTATCGATGAAGGCATTTTCCTATTTCCACTATTTTTAAGCAAAAAATTAATTTTTGAAAATATTTAGGAGGAGTACAAAGTTTTTGGAAGTTGTGCTGTAAAAGAAGGGCGAGGGAAACAACGCTTAGAAGACACAGAATGGAAAATCAAATATGGAAACGACTCAAAATCCGTTTCCGCGTCAAACCCTAACGCATGCGTAGACGTTATTCAGCTCTGTCGCTAGAGTCAGGATTGATTCGTTCCTCCTTCCGTAACTAGACTGATCAGCCCTAATTTGGAATTTTTTTAGCGGCAAGACGGCGTCTGTTAAATAGAAATAGACTTCAGCATCTTTATTTATCAATCATTTCTTGTTATTACCAGGCTCCTGTGTAGCAGGTGTAGTCGGAATCCACATGCCACGGTTCTGTTTGTTTGGTGACACAGTAAACGTGGCATCAAGGGTGGAGACCACTGGCCAGGGTAAGGGGCTCAAGTTTCCACACGCAAGTAACTCTATTATCGCCTCTGTCTTTCGTTTCTGAACAACTTAAATACAACCTTACTTTGGTAACGGATTCTGAGACTGAATTGCGATCGTTCCCAAGGAAAATACATATCGATTATAATAGTTTAGATTTATCTATAAATTTCCTCATGATTCAGATGAACCCAAATCAAGTCTTTTATCCGGAAAATTACTGACAGGAAGCAGTGATATTAGTATAAACAAAAAAGTAATAAAACAGAAAAACTTCTAGGAGAGGTAAGTTGATGTACTCTCTTTTCTTGTTAATCTCCTATCAAAATCTACCTTCTCTCAGCTCTCAAGATCCACGTGAGTGAAGACTGTTACAGACTTTTGAAGGAAATTGGAGGATACACATTTCTGAAGCGAGGCGAGGTTTATCTCAAGGTATAGAGCTTTTAAATTAACCCCGCCATCCAGTTTGTTGGTTGCTCTAAAATGTGGAAAAATTTGTTTGTATAAAGAAGTACTCTCAACCAATCTGTTATTTCGTGCATGCAGTTTTCGTCAACCATTTGCAGACAGTCATCACAAGAATAGTCAGCGGAGTACACCACCGGCGCGCCTTTGTATTTGAGAACCCAACTCAACTGGCTTAATGTGCGAGAAAAACGCTCTTGACCGACTAACTTGGTCTAAGTTTCACATCTGATTGGTTGAGATCCCTGATTGGGCAAATTTTTCGACAAGTGCAATGTAAGACTCCTATCCACATACAATCGAAATCAACTGGAGTTTTCAATAAATGACAGCTAGTTTTCCAAGACACTAATAGAGAGAACGTATCCATTTGAAGAACACCACTACTGGAGGACAATAGAACTAGTTTGTTATGAAGAGGTTTTTCTTGTTTTTTGTTTTTCAGGGACGTGGTTTTTGGAAAACATATTGGCTGATTGGCAAAGAGGGATTCAACAAGCCACTGCCTCACGCTATGACGGCGAACTCAGAACCATCTGTTGAAACTTTGAACATTTACTACGCAAGTTAACTTAAGTCTTTTTGAGACCGTCTCATCGCCGGGGTTTATCTATTGATATCACTTTAACCTTTCTCACATTTGACAAAAGACGGGCAAGTTTAATTTAACAAAACTGAGAAGAATGTTGATTTCGCCTTCACCTCAAAATTGCTCATGGGTGGTGGCTGATTGAGCTGTTTTCCTGTATCATGTAAAATCAGGAGTGATTGTAGAACTTTTAACACTTTTTTTTTTTCATCAGTATCTATAAGCATTTTAGCTCCACAGTACGCGGACAGTGGGGTGGTTTAAATTAATCAGTGAAGCTCAGTTGGCATAGCCTAGATTCCAGTCCTCTCTCCTTATGTCACCTCATTCTATTGCCCAGTTCCTCTCTGCCTTGTTTATAAATATTTTGTGCTCTCAATTACGAGCCTATTCAATGATAGTTTACAAAGTACCAACTCATTCGTACAACGAAACACAATAGTTGGGCAAACATAAGCAAAGTTAGCTTTAGTTTTCTGTTCCATTTGTTTTGAGCAACTTGATGGAATTAGTACAGATTACATTATTATACCTTCATGGAGGGATTGAAGATTGCTGCTGTTGTTTTTTAATAATCAGATAAATTATAGCCATGTAAACATTTGTTTATTCTTTAATTATTTGGAGATTTTACCAACAGCTTAAATGGGGAAATGTCAGTATGTGGGCAACTACCCACCCCTCCCCTAACCCAACAACAGTCAGCTGACAGCTAACAACAACTTAGGGTTATTGAAGACTTAAGGGAGGGGTAGGTGTACAGTTTCTCAAATACTGACGTGGATCTGCCTTGATTATATAAAGCACAATAAATTAAACACCAAAAACAAGAGTTATCAATGTATGTAGGTGTTTCTGTGTATAGCTTTTGAAGTAAATGACATCCCCCTGGAGTAAAAATCACTCTGTCAGAGAACAGACACCGACAAGCCTTAGCATCATTTTGCAAGCCTGAGGCTCTTTCAACTCCTCTTTATCTTAAAGTTTCCTTCCCTCCAAACTCATTTCTTTCTCAGTTATCCATATTTTGTTTCATTCAGCAAATTATGATGATTCTCTATAATTCAGTCCACACATTGACCAGACCCCTGCCACCCCTCCCCCCATTATTAAAAGTTCACTCTGTCAGGAGCTTAGTGCTGAGTTGAATCAACTTCCGGAAGGAGAAATAGCTTTTGAATTGTTGAATTAAATACCCAAAAAGTTTTGATCTAAAAAAATCTTGCATTTTCCTCTTCAGTGGACCTGCACTGCCACCCCTCCCCCCATTATTAAAAGTTAACTCTGTCAGGAGCTTAATGCTGAGTTGAATCAACTTCTGGAAGTAGAAATAGCTTTTGAATTGTTGAATTAAATACCCAAAAAGTTTTGATCTAAAAAAAATCTTACATTTTCCTGTTCAGCGGACCTGCACTGTTTTTATAAACCTGTCTTGATTTACTTGGAACATTTACAATATCTGATCAATGTGGGTACCTGAGCAACTGTGCACCTACCTCTCCCCTAACTCAACAACTGTCCTTTGATGACAAGTTAGCCTTAATGTTGGGTCTGGTAGGGGCCGGTGCACAGTTGTTGCAATACTAATATTGATCCATATTTTTTTCCTAAGATGACCTTCACTGTTAAAGTTTACTGGAGAACAGGTCAATGTTCTGTGACTCCTGCTGCATCAAGAATTGCTTTATCTCTCTTGCAGTTTGCTCAGGATTATCCATATGAAAATGGTGACCACCTTCAACCTTTTTCTTCATGAGAAATTTGGCATTTTGACACAATAGAATAGGTCTTTCTCTTACTTCTATTTCTATCTTACTAGTTGTGCCCTCTAGGACCAACATGGATGATTTAATCCTATACAAAATTAACTTGATAGAGACCTCAGGAGAGATAAACGGACGAAAAAGCCCTCTGATGACTGGATCATGGGAAAATATAACACCCTCGTTGGTGACTTTGGTTCCCCTCTTGGTTATCGACAACGCGCTTTCCTTGGACAAAGGGTAATATGGATTGGTATCCTCGGTTTCTTCTCGTCTTACTGCTGCTTTTTCTACGCTTTCGTAAACGCGAGGATTAGCTGGTTTGATGCTCGCCATTTTGGTGGCGTAAGTAGCTAGCACCTCAGCGGGGCGATTTCCAAACCGAGGATGCGGTCCACCGCAATCGATCAAAATTAGGTTCTCTACCTCATCAGGAAAGCATCCAGCATACAGCATTGCCACATAGCCCCCCATACTGTGGCCTATAATCGAGAATTGTTTCCATCCTAGCTGAAAAACGACCTTCTTTACATCAGCAACATATTCAAAGTTGCTGTATCCAATCCCTAGAGGACGATGAGAAGACATACCATGGCCAGCAAAGTCCATCGCGATAAAGCGAATGTTCTTGGGAAGCAACGGAACTAGCTTGTCAAATGTGTTGGCGTTGTCTAACCAGCCGTGAAGGCCAAGAAAAGGCTTACCGTTCTCGGGACCCCATATTTTAGCTGCAATAACACCCCAAGGAACATTAAAAGAAGTTTCTTGCCCAGCAAATTCCGCCGCCATATTGCATAATCAAACTGCTACTAGCCCTAGTCTTTATCTCGTTTTTACGCAAACGAGGCTCATAAATCACGTGAGATAATTTGCCATCGGCCATCACAGCCAAATTCAGAATTACCAAAAGATGATCAGAATTTGTGGCCCTAAACTAGCAAATTGTTGCTTTTTGATAAGCATATGGGGTATTATAATGTTGGTGAGTTATTTTGGCAGCGATCTAATTAATTTCATGCGTTTGTGGAGCTACGATAGTTGACGGTGTATCTTGTATCTCTGTAATTGATGACTTCTATTTTACTCCGTTTGTTTCAGTTGTTGTTAGGAGTATTTTTCAGTACAAGAAGCGTAGCACTCATAGAGGATATTCCTGGCAAAATGAATGAATCAGAAGGTTATAAATCATCGGCAAAGTTAGTATCAAATTGCGTTACGAAGAGATTGAAATAGAGGTTATTAATCTTGATAAGCATCAGATTATGCATAAATAGGCTGAGAAAGTGTTTTAGTGACACGTTTACTAAGGGAGAATGTAGGACGCTTAATAAACGCGTCTTACTTGATCTCAGGGGAATCTTAGAGAGGTGGCGAGAATTCCAGTGATATACTGTATCCATGTTAAAAAAATGCATTGAACAATGATTTGTACCATGCAAATCAGAAGCATGTGACCTAGAACGAGATTATATGCTTCTGTTTAAATATAATACCATGTAAATGTGTGAAGTGCCGTGACTGCACCTGAACACCTATGAATTTACTTAAAATGGTCCAACTTCACTTGTGATTTATATGTAGTTTTGTTTTGATATGCATCAAAGCACATAAATGTATCTTTGTTAAGCCCTATGGGGGAACCCCAGGGAATTTGATCGAGATTGTTTGTAGTATACACCATGTCAGGCTGTAAGAACAATATCTTTCACATTCACTTAGACCTGACTCTCTTTTTGTTTGTTACCCCAGGGGAAAATATCTGACTTGCACTGGGTGAAAAGGAGTGGGGAAGTTGACTCTGAATTTCATGGGGATAGCAAATCCCCTTGGGTGAACCATCACCCTGTTCCTTAATAATGATCAGTTCATAATGGTAATCACACATTATTCTACCTGGATGCAAAAGCAAATAAAATTTAAATCAATGATACCATTGAGCTGCAATGTTTGGAAGCTTTCTACCAAGTCGCACAACATATTTTTTCCAGACATAAATTTGTGACTTTAACATCAACCCTAAGATTTATAGCACCAGTGAAACTTTAAGCTTTATTTTCTCTTAGCTGCATCATGAAATATCACTGAGTGTGATTAAGCTTTTCATATTAACCATAACATGATGTTATCTGATTTTTTACCCCACAGAAATTGTTACATAGCTGCTGGAATTTATGCTGTTACAATGGTTGTTGCAGCACATCAGAAATGGGTGAATAGTCGGACAGGAGACACACAAAAGTTGTAAGTGCATATCTCTTGTACATCCTAAAAAATGTATTATTCTTTACACCCTCTATGATAAAAATATATCAATATTACTAGGTATGGATCTATGTGGAGTTTTTTTTTTTTGTGTTAAGTCAACACTTGGCAGACAATAAATTTTCTCTACAAATATGGTGTTGCTCAGGGGAAAAGTAAGACATAAATTTGTGAGAAGATCAATAAAGTATCTGCTAAGTAAATTGTAAGCGTATACTGAATAAGGGAATTGAAAGAAAATTTTGGATAGTTTTACAGCTGGTTTTGTTTGTATAGGTGTAAATGTATGTCCACCTTTGATATTTTACTTACTGTCTTGCACTTAAATTATGCAGTTCATTTAGTTACATAGGGTGATAATTTCAAGATTGAAGGAATGTAATAGCTTTTGTGTTCTTCTATGTTACACCTTTTGTGATAAAATAATTTTCTTATACCTCTCTAGGACACATACTTGAACAAGCCTGTTCCAAAGCTGTCATTTCCTAATGATTCTAATTGTTTAACAATTTCTTTTTCTGAGCAAATACTGCTTCAATAGGCAAACTCAATCTATGCAGTCTTAGAGTATAAGTGTTGTTCTATTTAAATATTCACTAATTTCAAGACAGTTTGAACACAGACTAATTCATTTGATAACGAACACTATTAGTTTTAACTTGAAATTTGGCAATGAACACTTTCTGCCAAATTGTGTGAGAGTTTACAGCAGTGCTGGTTTAAAGTTGAAATCAAAATTAATCTTAATATATAGAATTACACATTCAATTAAAAATATATATGCCCACAAAAGGACAATGCATGAACAAACGGGTAATAATTTCATAAATACTGTAGTTACTAAATGTGATGACAGTGCTATTACAATCAATTCCAGTTAAGTGGCCCCCTTCTTTTGTAATGCACTGTGATGTAGGGAGGTATGGTATATAATTTTGTCAGCGATCATAGGTTATTTTTTGGATTTTCGTTTTTAGAAGAATGTTATTTTTTGAAAATAAGTTATGGTTTTGGTGAAATATTTATTGCAACCTTTAAAAGGTATTTAATTCCAGAGAGAGAGGTCTTCCAAAATACCGGTACTGACAAAAACCATGTGTTTATTTTGTTACTATTGTACTTAGGTTAATGCAGTGAGGATTAAATTAAAACTTCAAAGTATTGTTAGTTTGTGTGGTTTTTCTGTTTCAGAATTGAGAAATGCTTACCAAATTAGTCTCACAAGTTTGTTTTTTCCTAATCTTTGCAAACTGATTTGAAGTGTCATATTTGTCTAAAATTATGAAATTATTCAAACCAGAAGTCAGCCAAAATAGTCATGCCAATTATGATCTTTTCATTTTAAAAAGAGAATATCATAATACCACATCCTGACTTCATTATTGATTTTCAATAATTTTTTTCTATTGAATGAAAACTTGAGATTGACCCTTCAAAATCTGGTGGTTAATTAATTTTTTAGGGAGGAGAATAGGAGAAAGGAATCTTTCTAGATTTTTTATTAAAAAATGAAAAATGAAAAGGCTTTTGAGCTTTGGAGAGGAAGCCTGGTTTGCTTCTTTATTAAAATCCATCATTCCCAGCTCAGAAACAGTTTTAAACATTTATTAGAGTTTTTCCTCATAAAAGAAAAAAACATATATTTTGTTTAATAACAGTTCTTTGAACTCAACCAGACCAGTCTCTATCTACAGTTAACAAGCTAATTTTGATCCTTTCCTTTATATACCTCATAAATTATTTACACATTGTTTCCATTTTCTCATCCAATCACATGGTTTTCTGTTGTCTGAAAGCTTCTTTTTCATTGGCTTTCAAAGGTCAAGCAGGTTGTTCTTTGAATGTGTGATAAATATTGCTGATGTTTTTCTTCAAGACTGACTGATATGATAATTTTTATTCAGTTTCAAGCTTGTTGTAGTATATTTATCTGCAAACTCCTTATGATAAACTTTTTTAAAACCAACTTAAATACATATATTGATGGCTTTAAAGAATCTAGCTTTTTCTTGTAGTTCATATTTGCATTATAAAATTGCATCAAAGAACTGAAACTATGTTGAAAATGTTTATCTTTCTTTAAAAAATCTTAAGGAAAACTTTTCAAATTTTCTTGTTTTTGTATCTCTACTTTTCCTTCTTTGTGCTTTTCAAAAGATAGTGTACACTGTTCAAGTAATTATTCATTAGCATCCTGTATTAACCACCTGTTTGCCAGCTGGTCGATGATAATTTTGCGTGTGTGTGATAAATTACCAGTGTCATCTCTCTCACAGGAGATGAGTAAATTTTCATTGCATTGTATCTTTGAAAAACTAATCTTTCAAAAATTGGTGACTTTGAAAGTTTGTTTCACATTAGTGACTCACGAGACTTGAGATTTGGCAAAAAAATATATAATTTTAAGGAAATTATAAGGAAAGAAAAGCATGAAGTAAGCTCTTTCATGTATTTTCTGCTAATTTTCATTGAGGTTAATTTACTGTTGTTACTATTTTTCCTTCACTTCTTCCCTTGGAACTGATAGTTGCATCTGTTAAAAATTTTTCTTCACATGTACTTTGTGCAAAAATTGGCTTGCTACACTATTATTTTAACTTGAATGTTTACACTTTTATTTTAAGCTGCAGATTATTTTCTGCTTGAACCAAAATCATTAATTATTGTTCCTTGCCATGATAAATGCCCAGAACCTTTTTTTATAACTTACAATTTAATTTTGTCCCAGGTACTTAGATTAAGAAATAGAAACTTGTTTGAATGTTAATTCAAGGTCATTTTTAAGTTTTTTTTTAACTTTTTCCCCTTTTTAAACACCTCACTGCTTCTTTATTCAGTCTTTTTCATCATCAATATTGTTTTAACCTTTCAGGGTTGTGACGTAAAGATTGTACATAGAAGTTACTGCCAAGTGAATGTAGCTAGATTTACCACTAAATTTGTCACTAGTGGTAGTAACATAGTCTGTTTTGGGAGCTACATGTATGAACGCAGAGACTATTGTGTGATCATATGAAATAATATCTAGATATATATTAAGTATATGTATTTAATTTCTTTGTAAACTATCAATGGCAGAAATAAAATAGAATTCATTAGAATTACTGATCAAATCTCATACTAATCCTTTTAAAGTTAATTTAGGATATGCTGATAATGGATCATAACCATAACACAAAGCCAGCCTAATTTTTGGTTAGAATTTCTGTATTGACAAACATTTTTTTGTTAGTAAACTGTGTTTGTAGGGTGAAATGGGTTTTAATTTTAATTTGGGTTTTTGCTTTGTTTTGTTTTGCAGTTATGTTCAAGCGTAGCTGTGATCTATGTGTTCTAGTATTGTTTTGAGTAACCTTAACAATTATTATTTTTTGTGAGAAAGTAACATACATGTAATGGTCAGAAATGGTAAGGTCAGAAATGGTGATGTATAGTGTATTCATGTTGTGAAGCAGATTGAGTCAATACAACAGTGACTACTTTTAATAAACGTAAGGTAAAAATGTCTGAGGCAAGAGATACCTTTCAAAGAACAAATAGATTACTGCATTATCTGGTAAGAAATTCTGATTGCCTTATACATTGTAGGAACCTCCCAATATAATGAAAATCATTCTTTATCCTTAACAATTAAATGTCAAGTTGTAATTTTATTTTTCAAACATATGATTGGTATCATTTTGACTATAGTACAATTCATAACCATAGGCAATACAAGTTTTTCAGCCTTACTGCTAATGATCTCCTGTCTCAAGAAGTGAGAGTGATTGTTAATTTTGTCTCGCACAATTAGTTTTAAAGATTAGGCAAGTTTGTGCTAATTTATAACTGTTTGTGAATGGAGGTGTAACAATACAAATACAAGTTTTGTAATAGATTATCACTACTCTTCAAATGCAATTGGTTAAAGAGTTTTTGTGGTGTGAGCATCATGAAGAAATTAATTTTATGCTACAAAATACATGTAGGTTAGTATGGTGACTAGAAGCAGATATTGAGTTAAGAATTTGGTGATAAATCAAATCATTGTATTGTAATTTATTTCCACTATCGCGCAAGGGGAAATCGGAAATACTGGAAGCCCCAGGGTGAACAGTTTGTAACCAAATTAATAGTGCGCTGTATAATTCCTGTATACATATGCATGTCTTCTTATTCCAAATAACAGAAACTTTCAAATGTTGTTAATAAAATCCTGAATGAGAGAAGATGTTTGTTGGTTTACTTTGTAGACTTTAAGTGACTAAATGTGTCTGCTTTGTATACTCCCCGTGATGTCAATGGTTATTACACCATCAAGAGAAAAAATGAGACACCTGCAACAATGTGTGTGGTAATTTCATTCTTTTATTTATATAATGGGTGGAGAAAAGTAGAAAAAAATTAAGCATTTGGCAAGGACACAGAACTTGAAGGGAGAAGAAATGGCACGGGGGAGTAGGAATGGTGCAGGGAAGTAGAGATGGCACAGGGGAGTGGGAATGGTGCAGTGGTGAGAATGCTTGCCTCTCACCACTGTGGCCTGAGTATGATTCCCTAGGCCTGGCATCACATGTGGGCTGAGTTTGTTGTTGATTCTCCTCCTTGCTCCAAGGGTTTTTCTGCAGGTCCTTCTAGTTTCCTTACTGCACAAAAATGGACATTTCCAATTCATATTTGACCTGGGAACAGTTGAAAAGATGAGCCACCACGTGGAATGTCCACTGTTAAATTATAATTCCTGTTACCATTAAATGAAATTTCTAATTTTTTTAAAACCTCACAGAACTCCATACTTAAAAAGCGCTTCCAAGGTTTTTAATAATCATGTTGTTCTCACTGACAACATCATTTCTATAGCCTTATTGCGCTTTCAACCATTCACCAGCCAGGCAAGTCTTGAGATACACATCAAACTGTTGAACTAATGACCAATCATCTACTTTGGTAACAACATTAAGCTGCTTGTTAGTTACATCAATGACAGCTTCCACCAGGAAGAAACTTTGTCCCAAAGCCTGAGGAGAGAAAGGTAGTTAGCACTTTTCTTTTGAATTAACCTTCCATCACTATAGACTAAGGAACCACAAAAAGGGCTCCCTTTGAAGACAGTTCTTCTTACCTTGCAAAATAATGCAAAGGGTTATAAAAGAAAGAAGGAATTCACATTTAATTGTGGGCAAATGCATCATGCAAACATAAGTGAATTTGTGAAACACTCAACCTGTTTGCTGTTTCAGTCTCACTTTGCCAACTGGGCAAATGCTACTGTACTTGAGTAGTAAAGTCCAAGTTAAGTACATAATTAGAATATTTCCCTACCTGCTGTGCATAAAAGAAATATCTCTGTAGAGATTGACCTGGAGGGCTGCTGGCCATCAGGACAATCTTATTTTTGGAGAAAAGTTTCTGAAATTCCTCAGGAGTGGATGGAACATGAGCCATGGGTTCATCCCAACAGGAACTGATGGTACAAACAAATGATAAACCTTCCATTTTGTGATTTTATCATTTCCCTTATTTATCATGATTTATTTGCAGCTTGCTGGACATTCTTTTCCTTTACAACAAAAGGAATTATAAATAAGGGTGGTTTTAAGTGACTGGTGAGCTGACTGTTACAACTGAAAACAAACTTGCAGGAGGGCTGTGCTTGTTATTTCTAATTGAGAGGACCCCAATATAAGCCTGTTCTTTATTTAAAAGTATATCATTATGTCAACACTATTGGCTATGTTTAAGGCTTCCATACAAGTCATGTACACACACAGTTGTAAGGGATGGACCGTTAGAAAGTGTTGGGGGAAGGGGTGGGGATTTTGGGAGATGCAAGAATTATTTTGCCCCTTAGAAACTTAAATGGTCACCCCACCCTCCCCCCACTTCAATTTCCCAATTGTCTGCCCCTACCTCCCTTGTTAATTCTTATTACTGTGTCAATCATTTGAATTACCCTTCTGGAAGAGTTTTCCATTTTTGTTCAAACTGAGCAGGTGTCAAAACAGGGTGATCATTCAACTCAAGTATTTCCACTTCCTCTTCTTTATCCTCATTATGATGTTCACTTAAACCACCTTCTCCCTATAAATCAACATAAGAAGACCTGGCTTAGCTCTTTGTTTTCAGGGCAAACAAAAGCCAATACTATCATTTCAACAGTTGTAAAAAACCTGATTTACCAACAGATTGCCAACAACAACATGGGGATCAGAAGAAGATAAATCTGGTGCTTTTGCTTCTACTTCTTCCATATAATTGTGCATTTCCTCTTCTGGTGGATGAAAATATAAAATGTTGCTTTGTAAGCTACAACTGTAATTCAATTTACGATATAACAAATCTAATGCATACTTTAATTGGAATTTTTTTTTTTTTGATAATTTTTTTAAAGATAAAATTAATTATACTGGTAGAAATGTCTCCATATATACCTGGTTCCTTCTCTGTGTATGGAATTCCCTTTATGTAAGGAATAGTTTGGCTGATGAAGCGAACAGATGGTTGCCCATATATAACTGACAAAGTGTTGAATTCTTTTAAGAGGGAATCCTACCAAAAGAGGAACATGTATTAATTAAATGTATGATATGGTGGCTCTAAGGTACAGTTATATTCAGACTTGAAAATGGTTGAATTGTACACTTAATGTGATATATATATTTATATTAGTTTATACCTTGGAATTTTGGGTGTTGGTAATTACATTCCATGGATGAGTGACTGGTTTGGAATCTGACCCACAAACTACCCTTTCAGCCTAATGAAAGAATAGCACAATTAATGAATGAGTGACTTGAATTAACTTTAAGTTGAGTTTGGATTTTGTGAAATAAATAGTTGACTTGCTGTCATTACCTCTTTTGCATTAGTTTTAAGAAGTCTGTAGTATAACAGAGCTCTGTCATGAACATCCATATGGGTTTCCTCATCTGCAAAGAACAGGGTACTGAACCAAAACAGACATGTTGAATCAGTTTATCTAAATAACAATAGCTTAGAGGCCTTTACTGCAAGGGCTTTTCCCAGTTTTTGTTGATAAAATCAACAAGGAGTACAGCTTTTATTTCAGATGTTATTCCATCACAGTTAACCCCCACAGACATCATCAATTCTCTCTAACAGTGACTTCAAAACAAAGTTTTGAACAAAGTTCTCACTCCTTTAGCTACAGACCCTTAGTTTACTTTTGTTTAAGATGATAAGAGAATGGAACACTCACCTACACAGAACTTTAGTAATCGACCCAGCATGTCTTGACATTCAGGAGGTTTCTTGAAAAACAGTTTCATTGTCGCAGTAAGTAGCTGTAACTTCACCTCAGCAGATTGCTCTGACTCAATTTTGTCCACCAGAGGTTCTAACATATATGGACTGTCAGGAATGGACTGCCAATGAGAACAACATATCACCTAAATAACCAACTTCTACATAATTCTTGACACATTTTTCTGAGGCTGCTTTCCAAATTACCTTTTATGATTAAGAAGTACCACACACAGAAAGATTTTATCTAAGATGACTTCATACAACCACTTTCTAGAAACATCTATTACACAACATAACTTTTATTGTCTTACATCCAAAAGTGACCAATGGAGAATTTCTCTTTTGAGTAGAAGAGTGACAAGGAGAAGAAATATGTCAGTTACAGGTGAAACCATGTTCCTGAAGAGCATCCCATCTAGCAGTGGCAGAGTGAGACAAAATAAAGTGCATTAAAAAGGATAAACCTGTAGGAATCTTTCCTCCTTTTCTCCTCTATTGTGTTCCTGTTTGCAAAAATAAGTTCTGAATAATGTATGTAAAAATCAAGTCAGCTGTTTCTAAATCTGATCATACCTCTCCATACTCTCCTAAAATCCAAATGATAGCTGATAATCCCTTAGAGTCCTGAACTACTTCTAGACATTCTGCTATCTCAGGCAAAACAGCAATGGCTGACTTTTCATACTTCAGCAGCAAGTCTGTCAACGACACAAGCAAATGATTCTGACTGAAAAGTAACACAGACCTTGAGTAAATGCCATGTAAGGCTAAGGATAAGGAATGCCTTCCCTTAGTTAACTGATTCACTTACCTCTTATAACAACTAGAGTCTGTGAAGTAATGTACTCAATGTCCCAGGAGAGGAATGTGAGTAATACACTGATGCAGTATTCTGATGCCTCAGGAAGACACATGGTGATCTCACCAATAGCTTTGATTGATTTCTTAGAAATGTTTATGTCTACATCATGAACATGAGCACTGTATGGATTTAAGAGAATTTTGTAACTACATTTAATCAAATATTGGTAGACTAAATAGGGATAACTATATGAAACTTCAATTGTTGGTCTCACTGTCAAAGATGCAGATTCAAGGCTATATATTGAAGATCAAAACCCTTCAACTGCTAAAATTCTAGTCTTCATTAGAATTTCTTGATCCTTAATTGATACAGTGTTGCTCGACTCTACAATTGATAGTGAGTCTCTAAATCATATGACATATGATTAATCATTCATTAATCATCAAAACCATGATGAACATATGTCACATCTTTTACAACAGTTCAAACACTGTCAAAGCACAGAGATTCAAACACTTAACCCTTTACACCCTAACATCAATATGCATATTCTCCATACTATTCTCTTTACATTTCCTAAGGTGCTGACAAGGAGAATTAGTTTAACAGTCAAGAGAGTCTTACACTGGTGATCACTTCCTTTTTTCTCATGACCTAAAAGTGTGATTCAGGGGTCATATTGTAAGAGGAAAATAGATGCTAGTCTCTCGTAGTGGTTAAAGGGTTAATACACTTGCAAAGGTCCAGCCATGGGCTGCATGAATAATGAATGGTTTACAGAAATTTGTGACTGTGACTTTCCCTTTCAAATTTCCTGACTATGCTCCTAGTTTTCTTTTTATTAGGAAAAACACAGCCCTTAGCTCTTGTAATTTGAACTCTGCACATATCACTTACCTTAACTCAGTAACAACTTCTTCAACATTAGAGTCAGATGCAATAGTAGTAAGGATCTCAAGCTTTTTGGTTTTTATATACAGTGGATCAGTGTGCCTGATGACCAAACCAAGAAAAAAATATTTCATTGTCAATAATAATGAAATACCATAATTAACAACTTGCATTTGCTTTGAGAATTACCTGGAGAAGAAGGAGCGATATTCTTGATCAAATAATTTTGGAATTTCAGTCAGCAGAAGTTCAATGCAACACAGACACACATACACCAACTCGGCATTACTTGAAGAGACAATTGCCATGAGGGGACCTGTAAAAAAGTAATTTTAACATGTTATTTTGCATTAACTCAGTAGATGTCTTCATCCATTATTTTTTACAGTTATGTGTCTAAATGGCTAAAACTCACAAACAGAAAAAGAGTCTTCTGCAGCCATCCAAAATCTGAGACTCTCTAACTACTGCACAGAATTCTCCAGCTAATTTTCAGTGGGCTCAGCTATTTGTCATTGATCAGATGTGGAAAAACTTCTCTTAGTCTATACTATTGACCTACTCTTTTTTATATCTTTATTTGATGAACACTCTGTAATCACATGTGATCAATTATTTTGTTTACCAACTAAAGAATAGACCTTTAATTCTCTTGTACACATGTTCAGTTAACTCTTTCATATCCTTTGTCAGATGGATAAAAAGTTGAATACAGGCCATCACCACAGCACTGTTGGGATGCTTCAGACGGTCATCAAGCAGGTTCTAACAAATTCAAATAAATCACAACTGATTTTAAAGCTTTTACCTAGGCCTACATGTATATTAACAGTTACATTAATCACTAACTGTGGTATGGTTGATGAAGGAATGAGAAAATAAACCTGATGCAAACACCATGGACATGTTGAAATCAAAGTTCAAATCAAATTTCGCTGTTTGCAAGAGATGAAACAAATTTCAGATCTTACTTTCCATTGAGTAGGCTCCATCTGTAAAACCAAGCAGTTGTCCAACTAGGAAATTCATAACTAAAACCCCTATTTTCTCAGTTTTTTGCCTTAAACAAAATGATGTAAAACAGCCATCTAGAGTACCTCAAATGTAATCAAAACAATGGAAAGATAATAATTTATACTTTCACTTTTACTGACCATTATTTCAAACATTTCATCTGTGTCACATAGTTTATAACGCTTCATTAGTTCCACAACCAAACTCTGCCCCCATCCACTGAAGGATTTTAATCTGGTCAATAACATAAAACACAATGATTAATAGATCATTGACACACACTACTACAAGTAATTCCTCAACATCCATAACAGATGTTTCCAGAGGCTGTAAACTACCATGCTACCAGTAATAATGTATTTCACCCTCAATGTAAATAAGTAAAATTAATGTAACCCATTCCAAAAGCCCTCTTATTTTTAAGATCAGTAACTAACTAAAGATAAATCAAGGGGTGCATGAAAAAATGCCTCATGTGACTTCTGACAGAGTGTTATATTCTCCTTCAAATTGTCTTGTCCCTTCTTGTCAAACACAAGGAGAATTTAATTTGTCAGTAGAAGATAGTTATATAAGGCTTGACTAAATAAACCCTCTTAAATTTTAAATCACCTTTAACAGTCAATATGAATGTTAAATCATAACATATTTCTATATCGTTAGATCATTCTTTTACCTCTTAAGCAAGTAATGAGCAAGTTTTTTATTAACTTGCATTCCACCTTCAGCAGCAAGGATTTCATCCAAAGCTGAAATAGCATTGCAAACTACCTAAAGATACAAACAAACAAACAAAAAAATCCTACCCCATCAATGCTGACCTGCTGGACAAATTTTGCTCAGAGGCTTTTAACTCACATACAGAACAGGTGTATCAAAATTACATGTACAATGATCAAAATTTATGAAGATACTCATGATTGTTAATTTTGAAGTAGATGGTATATTTCAGATGGAATTGCAACACATCAAAACTGTTGGCTACCTGACTTGAATAATTATTATTGAGTATTAACTGTATGCATGATGTACATACCTGAGGGTCTGGGTCAGTCAATAGTTGGCAAAGTTTGTCTATGATTCCATTATCTGTTTTGATGAAATACATCAACAAATACTAGTTGAAATTGTCATTATTCTCCCCATTATTATTAATGGAGAATTACTAATAAAGTACTAATAAGATATCCATTAAAAGAAGGGAATAATTAATACACTTGGTCAACAGATTTCTCTTACATACCTTCAACAAAGTCAGGAATAAGATGGTATAATTTCACACATCCCATGACTGCACATCGGCGTACATAAGAACTTTTATCTCCTAGACCAGTCAGAAGAGGCTCTACAATGTACTCCACAAGATCAGGCAACCTATAAGAAACAGCAGCAATAAATAAATCAACACAAAAGATTAAAAACTGGGAATTAGTCTGAGAGGTGATAGGTTTTGCCACAATGGACTTTGTTCAGTCACCTGGGACTCTGTGGTCCTTGCATTAATCTATGTTTATCATCCAAGCCCAATAACCAGGAGCAGATTTGAAAGGAATTAATCATACACTCTGACTGGGGGTTCTGCAAAATCCAAAATCACAGACACCTGGCTCTAATGTTTAGAGGGGCAAAAAATTTCATGAAATTGTATCATGACACTGAGTACTCAGTACTTCTACAATCAATTGGTTATTAACCTTAATGAACACATGCTTCTCAAAGCAAGACCTCTGACCATAGCACTGCTGTCTTGAGAATCTTTCCGCAAGGTGTTCATGGTCAACAAAGCTAGTTCAGGGTTAGATTGTGCATAACTACATATGTACAGATACACCAGCTTCTTCTGGACAAGATCATGTGTAGCTCCAGCCTGAGGAAACCAAAACAAAACAATTTATTCAGATATCAAAATAGAATTTCAGTGTACCCCTTCAACTCACTACATCTTTTTTTAAAGAGGAACTGATAAATAATTCTACCCTCTAGCTGTTGATATATACACCTCTTTGTCAAGTCTTGAAGAGGATTGGTTATTATATCAAGGCAATACTCTCTAGGTAGACTGCAAGCTGTCAGTTTTTCTCTTGAGGAAAAGAGAGAACCCTGGTCCCTAAAGGGAACAAAAACTTTAGGCAAGAACAGATTGAAACATCAGGCAGGTTATTCCTCGGGGGTGGAGCATGTGAGAGGTTTACTCAACCCAGGCCCCTCTACCATACTATACCATGTGTGGCCTCTTCTTTCATGTTTGTAAGAGCAAAATCATAAAAAATAGTGAAAAGGAAAAAAAGAGACAGAAAAAAAGAAAAATAATCCGACTGCTGTTCGTGTACTGCATAGCAAGTATTTTTTTTGGTTTGCAAAAAAGATGAGTGAAGTAAGCCTCTGTGGCAGAGGTATGGGTATTTTCTGAGAAAAACCATTCAAAGTCAAAGCCAGTGAAAAGAAAAACAAAAAGGAAATTCTAGGTTTTCAAGATCCACTCTACCACAGGCAGGGTCTCTGTGTTTTAAAAATGAAACAATAGTATTGTTGTTACCTTAATCATATCCATGAAGAGACAGGATAAATCCATTCCCAGAGTCATGCATGATATCACCTTCTGAATAACTTTCTTATACCGTGCAGCATCTTTTTGCACTTCTGGTGACTGTAAACTCTTCTTTAATTCGCTTACTTCACCTTTCTTGTTTGACTCGCTGAAAAATGTCGCTGAGCTTGACGCCATGATCACCTCAAGCTTTTAGTGCAAGTATTAGTGAGTGTTTTCAAAAGATACAAGAGGCCTTCTCAACCTTCTCATCATGTGAAGACGGTTTTAGTTGCACTTTCAGTCTTTCTCTTGTTCTCTCACTTCACCACCCTGGCAGAAAAGAAGGCTGAAGAAACACCCATACTTTCCACAGAAATTTGGCTTCTTCGTTTTTCTAACCAAATACAGTACATGTGTCTTACATGAAGTAAAAATAAAGTCGTGTTTCGGTTTCCAGTCTCTGTTGTCTAATTGAGAAGGCCTGGTAGTTTTTCATTTTACCTTGATTTCGAATAGCAACTTTGTTTATGTTATGGCTGGATCCTTTCAAATGGAAATGTATCAGAGCTAAAAATATTAACTATATATCCTTCTTTATAAGAGAAAGTGATTTTCGATATTGTCACTACAATGGCTTCTGCAAGAGAAGGCAGAGGCACAACTCATGTTGGTTTTGTGTGTCAGAGATGCTATCAACCCTTGAAGTTGGATCATTCCTTGTTATCTTTGGACGAGGAAACGATCGCAGAGCTTACAGGTTAGATACAATAATCGCTGAACTAATAACAGGGGATCATAATAGAGATCATTGAATCGTAAAATAGAAAGAAAAAGTCGAGATTTGAGAACATGATCTTTAAATTAATTTCGTTCTTGAAGATTGACTATCTGTCAGTGCACTTTGTGCGTGGGCAAACTCGAAGTGTTTATTTCCTTGTGGCAATCAACTTCTATCCATGCGTATAAACGTATTTATCACTCTAGCTGTGCTCAAGCTTATTGTAATTGTGCTAATCTTAACTGTCACCTCTGGGGATTTACACTGTTGTCTAAACATGCAAGTTATAAAAAATCATTGCCTTCACATTTGACAGCTTTAGTAACCAAATCTATAATATTTCTCTCGTGAGTCTCTTGTTTACATGGTGGGTAATTATAATCTCCCAGTCTCCCACACAGTTTGCCAAATCTCCTCAGTACAAGGAAATTGATTTTTTTTAATGTGGTCTTTGTAATGAGGGAAGTGTAGGTAATGTTTTCATTAAAATATCCACCCATGGGAGAGACTGAGATGAAGTAGTCCATTTACAAATTTAGGAAGGATTTCAGATGAAAGTTTTCCAGAGGTTGGCATCTCTGGGTAGTGACTGACTTTTTTATAATTAAATATTAGACTCATTCTAGCATCAAAAGGAAATAAAAATGTTTCATCCTGAAATTTCTATTTCCAGCTCCATTTCCTGAATTTGCAGCCCAGACTGATGGTGGAGAAGACACAAATGGGAAGTATGACCCTTCTTCATGTCAGGTACAATTGTCCCTTATGGATTTACATTTCTCAGGGTAAAAAGTACATTAAGACTAAAGTTTTGTGGCATGATCCAGATTAATGGAATTTCTGGTTATTGTTGTCTTAAAAAAAGTTTTTGAAATAGTTACAGCTGCCTACAAGCTGCTGTATAAAGAGTGATTGCCACAATCACTCCTTATAATTGCTTGTAGGTTGTCTCAGTAGAGAAATAATATGAACCCAGGCAACAAAAAGATTTTGTGAAGTTTTGTCAAGATAATTGGCTGTTTGCCTTGTTTGAAAATCATTTATAATAAATTTGGTATTTTTTTACTAGACTGCTGTCAATACAGAGGGAGATGATACAGTCATAAGGAGAATCATTTCTCCTGTGAGGTAAATTTCCTTTTTTTACTTAGATTTGGTTATCCTTGAAATTGTGTAATTCTTATGGCTTTTTAACATGTCACTCTGACTTTTTAGACTTCAGTCACTGGAGGGTGGTTTTACTCTGATCGGAGACTCGCAGCCAATTAACACAGAAAACCTCAGTCACAGGCTCAAGGTACAGTAGGTCAGAAGTTAATAACAGTGGTATGAAGGAGGATGTTTTGTTTTGTAACCTCTTATGTAATTTTCTTTCTTTACCGGTAATATGACTTTCTCAAATGTATATGCATTTTCTTTTGGTATTCATTCTGGAAATTAAATTGGTGTCAGCAAATTGTCATTTATCAAAAATGATGAGTGAATAAATGGTGAGTAAGCTCCAGCATAAGGTGCTCCATCTGTTTCATCTGCAGTAAGAAATTTCTCTTAAATTAACTAAGAGAAACAACAGTGAATGAAGGGGTTAAGTTTCTAAAGAAACTGTGTTACTGGTATTATCAACTATTATGAGTTTCAAAGCTTATGTGTCATCAGAGCAAAGGGCTGATTTGTGTAGCTCTTATGGCTTTTGCTCTGAGGAAGGACTAATGCTCAAAAACATTAGCTTTGAAACTCTTTAGTGGCCAATTTACATTATCAACTCAGTTGATAGAACTAAGTTACCATGCTAAGAGAAACACCAGTCTAGTGAGGGACACACCTTAGACAGACTTGTATCAAATCATGACAACTAAATGTCAGCTCCTGTTTGACCATATACTCCTTGAATGATACAAACAAATGTATAAAGTTTCATAGACATGACTGTGTTTGTTTTCATTTGTGAAGGTCACCAGTCAGTTGTTTGATATAATGTCTGGACAGTCAACTATTGATCACCCTTTGTGCGAGGAGTGTACAGACACCTTATTAGACCAACTAGACCAGCAGCTTAAGATCACAGATGATGAACTCAAAGATTACAAAGTTTTTTTTGAGAAGCTCAATGACAAACCATCACTAGATGGTGAGGCCTTGTCAAAGGAACTTGAAAAGCTTAGAAAGGAAGAGCAAGAACTGATAAAGAAATTAGAGGAAATTGAAATGGAAAGAAGCAAAGTGGCTGAAAAACTTGAAGCAGAGAAAGAGAGATCTAAGCAGTTGGAGATTGAGGAAAACAAGTATTGGATGGAATACAGTGAGTATCAAAAGGAGCTCTTGGAATCTGAGGATGAGCAGCAGAGGTAAGTTCATCTTAATTGTTTATTTTAGAAGCTTTTTTATATTCTGCAAGGCTTAGTAGGATTGAGGTGGTATTGTCTCTTTCAAATTGGGATTGGCAGTGTAACTGGCTTCTTGGAAACTATAAGGGAAACCTGAAACAATGCAGAAGGAGGGGTGGGAGGGGGTTGTCCTTTGATAGACTAGTGTCCCATTCCAGCAAGAATTAGCTTTACTCTGTCATTTCATGTCATTGAATCAGGACTAAGTCCTGATAGAATTGGTTATCTGACTTTACATGTACCTACCTTATTTTAATTGGTTTCCAAAACAAATGTACAACCAAGATTACAAATGAACTGACAACTTCAGCTGGGTGTTATTTGTGATCTACATGTATGTACAGCCTAACAAGTGTTATGAGTTACTTCTATTTTCTTTATGCCAAATCACTGAGAATCTGGTTAGAAATAAGTTTTAAAGCAGTTATACACACCTAACATTGTGTCTACCAGTAGATCTTGCCTGAAATTAATGGGAAATATTATTTATTGTTTTTATTATTGTTTATCTATTTGTTTCTGTAAGGTCTTTTTTCTTTGCAGTGTTGATAATCAGATGAGATATGCTCAGGCACAGTTAGATAAATTAAAGAAGACAAATGTATTCAACAGTACTTTTCACATATGGTGAGTTGACAATTTACTTCCTAGTTGTCCTAAAGCAAAACTAGAAAAATAAAAACCAAAAAAAAACCAAACAGTATGGGCCATAAAGTTTACTTGCCTCCTGTATGGCAAACCGGTTGCTAGAATCTAGCATCTGATGCTTTAATCTCCCTAATCATTCTCAGCAGCATATGTCAGTTTGTGGCCTTTCCTTACATCTAGGCAGTTCATTATAGCAGAGCATTATATCTTTAAGTTTATTGGAAAATATAGTTCATAATTTATATATCAGGATTCATTATAAACTCCAACTGAAAATGGTATAAAGGTGTTTGTAAATCTATAAGTCTTTGCTCTTGGGGGGACAAAGACTCTAGTCTATCAAGATTATATCTTGGGATGTGTCTTTCTGGTAGAAGATGTCCAAGGTTGTGACTGGGTGCAGTAACAATGTCATTGAATATTTTGTCACATGGTTTTAAATGCTTGTTGCTTAGCTTTAAAATTCTACTGAGGTCCAAGCTGTCTGTGTAGTTGATGTTGGGGTAGATGATTGCCAGAACACACTTCTGAACCCTCTCCATGGCATCTGATAAGTAGGCTGGTTGTGCAAAATGGAAAACCTGACAGCTATACTCCAAAATAGGTCTTACACAGATACTAAATTACCCTGTATTTCATCAGCCGCAAAGATTGTTGACACAGTATTATATTATGGAGTGCATTGTAAACTTGGTCCTTCCAATAGTGTCAGGAGCATAGTAAGATTTAAAAGTTCTCCTAATGTATATAAATCAATTTAATTTGTAGGTAATAATGCAAGCACTACCTGATCTCTTTGTAGGCACAAAGGTCACTTTGGAACAATCAATAACTTCAGACTGGGTCGGCTGCCAAGTGTACCTGTAAGTTTTACAGTAACCCCTGCAACTATTGTACTTCTAGTCTTTTTAAATTTTGTAAACATTACAAGTAATGGTGTATGTTATATGTGTGTCATTTATTATAGGTTGAGTGGAGTGAAATCAATGCTGCTTGGGGTCAAACAGTCTTATTATTGCATTCTCTAGCCCGAAAGATGAACTTAACATTTGAGAGGTAAGTCGTAAGGAAGAGCACTCCTAGTGAAACATTTCGAGAATATTTGGAGCATAAAACTGAGAAGTGTCTGATAGAAATTCTTGTTTTATAATAAATCAATTATGAATTCAAAATTCTGACAGAGAAGTCAAAATTAAAGAAATTTTTCATTGATCTTCACATGCTGTTTGAGACATTTACCTTCATTTTATTGAATCTCTCAAACATTATAGATATCGTTTGGTTCCTTATGGAAATAATTCCTATCTAGAATCACTGACAGACAAATCAAAGGATCTTCCATTGTAAGTCATACTTATTTCTCTGTTATGACCATATTTTACCATTTTTTACACCATATCTTATTGAAAATAATATTTAAAATTTAATGATTTAATTAATTTTTTAACTGGAACTCAACTTAGCAACTCATTCGCTTTTGTTTATGAATTAGAGTAGACTTAACTTATCCTTTTTCACCAGCATATAAAGTTCGAACAGATAAGTACATCATTAATGTTTACCAAATTTCCTTTCAACAGATATGGATCTGGAGGATTTAGATTCTTCTGGGACACAAAGTAAGTGACACGTGAATGTAAAGTTTCTCTTGTTGATCTGCTTCGTGACAAACTACCTTACAGCTTTAAGAACGAAATTCACGAAATCAAATGTCAAATAAGGAAGAACCTTATGTACCTGGTTTAATCTCTTTTAATATAGGAATACCCTTAGATCGTGAATTGTTTTCAATAAATAATGGAATGAGATGTTTGCAACTTCTAACAGCCGCCTCCGTAAATCATGTCTGCATATTTTTGAATCGTGAAAGTCATTTAAGTTAGCTAGAGTTTGAAGTAATCCGACTCCGTCCAGATAAAGCTTTCAAAGATATTTATCCACTGAAATGACTGTTACACAGTTCATAAATTGTAGACGTACCTGAAATCGTGTTCCATGACGCTTTTGACGTTTTCATTACTTGTACAACTCAGTCATCAGATTTAGACTTAATCAATCGCTCTGACGAAGGGCTAACGCTCGAAACGTCAGCTGTTTTACTCTTTACGGTGGCCAATTTACGTTTTCAACTCAGTTGTTAACACTAAATCACCAGATTTAGACTTACTTTGCTTGTATTCTTTCGCTGTGGAACTCTTAAGATGAAGTATTTCGTGCTTCAACTTTGGTTTCCAACATTAGAAACCAATTTAGTAGACTTCAACTCTGAAATATTTAGTAAATAACAGCTGAGCTCAAGTGGAAAACATTTTCTTGTTGTAAGAATATTTAAAATGCTCGTGTTTGTCGTATAAGACCAAAGTTTTCCCGCCACGGGAATGCGCGCTTACCAGCCTTTTGTTCGCTGATTGGTTGTTTGGAAATGAGAACGGACGGTGATTGGCCGGTCGTAACAATGTAGACTTGGGAGTCCTTTCAAAAATATTTCTAGACTCGGTTGTGATTGGTGAAGTTTTGAAGAACATTGTTTATATTTTGCAAGCATCGATCTTAATACGAATAGTTAACCTACAATGATAAAAATAGAGTGAGTTTCGAGGAGTGAAAAGGGATCATGAAATTATCGTTTTCCCTCCCCAGTCGCAAACTTTTGAAATTATTCAACAGAATTATCCAATGGTGGTCTTTCACTAAAGTGCTCTGTTTACTAAAATTGTTTTAATCTGGTGTATTTTATACAGGTTTGATCAAGCAATGGTTGGATTTTTAGACTGTTTACAACAGGTACATGAATGTAATATTACAAATTTGAAATAACAACATTTTTCTCTGGGTACAGTAATCCAGCGATCAAACCCAGACCCTAACAAAAAAAAAATGTTTTGAAAACGTAACTTAATCTTTTGTTTAACTGTCGGAGAAATGATGTGCAGCGTTTCTTTCACATAGAGAAACGTAATATCCTTAGGATTTGTTTAATTAGAAAATCTCACAAACGGTCGTTATTGGGCGCCATTTTTACAAGCAATATCTTAACACGCTTAGTCGAAAACTGCTGTTATTTGCGTCCTTAGTTTAAAGAAGCTGTTGAAAAAGTGGACAAGAGGTTTTGCCTTCCATACAGGTGAGAGAGTGCACCAATAAAACAATTTTGAAAGCGTTTTTTGTCTCTCCCGATCTATATTTTGGAAAAAGATTTGATGTTTTTGGAAAGTCCTGAGTAATTTTTGCTCGTATGTGCAGGTATAATTTATGGAAGGCTCTGTCAGCGATTTGACGAATTAGTAGATCGCTTGTGTGTAAATTTTGAGGCTCAAACCTAGAGTCGGATTCAATTTTATTCGGATTTTGCGAGCGCAAATATCAGGTGTCACGCATTGTTTAACGCTCACGATTGCGTGACTAATTGGTATTATGCTTTCATTACGTCAAGCATACGTCACTAAATATTTGTCTCCAACCGAACTAATTGGTAACGAACATTCGTGACGTAACTTTTGCGTCACTAATTTCTCATTGAATTAACCTAATGACCAACGGTTAACTAGTTAATTGGTCGTTATGTTTATGACGTGTACCCCCTGGTTAAGTCATTTGCTGCAAGTCCGCGAGCCGTTCAGACGTACTTTTTGCGCTCCGTGAAAAAATTCGCTAAGACAGTTCAAAGATGGCCAAAGCTAAAACCCGACGAGTTGTTAAGAAATCAGCCTTAGCCAAGAAGAAGAAGGCAGTCAAGAGGCCCCCTCTTACAAGCGCAAAGGTGTTGGCTGCCATCGCCGCCTTGAAAGACCGCAATGGTTCAAGTGCGAAAGCTATCATGGCCTACCTCCTCACGCAACGTGGAACAAAGAGAGTTACACCTTTTCAAGTACGAATTGCGTTGGCGCGCGCTGTCAAAGAAAAATCACTGGTGAAGAATGGAGCTTTGTTTAGAGTTGTTCTTACTTCCAGCAAGTCACGGTCGCGTTCCAAATCTCGTTCGAAGTCCCGCTCTAGATCTCGTTCTCGCTCAAGGTCAACCTCGAAGACTAGATCCCGATCTCGTTCTCGATCAAAGTCGAAGAGTCCGGGCAGAAAATCGGTGAAGAAAGTCACCAAGAAGGCTAAGAAGGCTAAGAAGGCGAAAAAGGCTAAGAAAGTGATCCGAAAGCGCAAGGCCCCGGCCAAAAGGCGCGTCGCAAAGAGGAAATACTACAAAGGAACCAAAAAGACGACCAAGGTTCGCAGGAGGCGACGATCCGCCCGCAAGTGAACTTACTGATAGTATAACAAAACTGCGATGTCTTTTCGTCTCCCTTCTTAAAACACTCAAAGACTTTGTCTCTACAATCTCATGACAGCAAACGCCTAAACGCTGAAGAACTGTTAGTAAGCGAAGTTGACAGGATCCTCGGTTTTATCATCATAATTTTTTTTTAAAAGGATTGTACACACAAGAAAACTTTGATTAAACAGTGAAGGCGAAGACTTGTTTGGTGTGTGATTTTCTATAAATATGGGGGAAAGAAAAAGCGATGAGTTTACAAGTAGAAAAGTCGGCAACTAACTTTTCCCTAACGAAGAAGCGACAACAATCAGTTAATTTCCAAAATTTTTAATTAGGAGGCACTTATGTTATTATGCCTGGTTGGTGTACTTATAGGTCGGCGCGCGCGTGGCCTTTTTTTGCGCGCACCTTGGTTTTGTGCGCGTTTGGAGCTATCTGCCAAAACTTTGCCATAGACAGAATTTTTAAGAATTTTTTCTCGTGTCTTTGTTGTAAATTAAAAGCGCAAGGTTGCGCGCGCGATACTTAAGCGGCATTCAACGCTTAACAAATACTGCCTGAGGCGTCTTCATTGACGGACTTTTTCCTAACTTTTCGTGGAAAATTTTTACGGAATCAAACGATTTGGATCGATTTCTATTTCCAAGAAGCTTAATTTTTGTGTGTTTCAGGCGACAGTTTTACTTTTTAAGTTTCTGGTAAATCAGTGTCAATACTGCACGTGCGATTAACAAGCGCGTGGCTTGCAATGTTATCACAGTCTCTTTTACGATTGGCCAAAGATCGACGGCGAGGCTTTGGAGAGATGTAAAAAAATCAATTAATCAATCAATAAAATCTGTCGTGGAAATGAATAAGTTCAAAGCCTGCACATATACGTGCTTTTACAAAGTCATACTATTTTACTGGTCTCATTCGTTTGTCTTGTTTTCCTAAAGCAAGATATAATCCAGTATCTTTCGTTTCAGGATGGAAAAAGGCAAAATCCATGATTCAAGTGGCAACGGCGGAGCTTTTTCCATAAAGTAAGTTGGCGGAATTTTTTTCGAGGAAGGGCAAGGGAAACAATGGAAAAAGTAAACCAATTTTGCTGTCTGAATGACTCAAAACTATTGGTTCAGAGCGGGTTTCGATTAAGTGTTAAGCAAAAACGGAAGTAATTACAGCAACCAATCAAAGAAGAGAATGCCATCACAAGGAGGCAATTTTGCATCTGATTGGTTGAGAAGATGGCGTGAGTTTTGTGGCTTACCACACGGCGAAGTAAAGCAAAACCAACGCTTTTCCAGATTACTTTCGACAATCAAAGTAAAATTTCTCAAAAATCACTACCTGTCTGTATATGCTTAGCACTTCTCCACCGCAGAAGTTTACTGAGACAAGTGTCATTACGCCTCTGGTTTTTTTCTTTGTCTCATCAGAATTCAGTTCAACTCCGAGGAGCAGTGGACCAAGGCGCTAAAATTCGTGCTGACTAACTTGAAATGGGGACTGGCGTGGGTCTCGTCCCAGTTTACTGAAAAGTGACTCAGACTAGCGGTCAGTCTGGATAATGCACTTCTGCAAGAAGTTTATAATGTACGAACACAGAATCAGTTGACTTTGAATAATTGCTCTTGTAGTCTGAAGTTTGCTTTTGAAGAAAGTAATAGAAACAAGACTCTTTAAAGAAAGAAACTTCAGATTCTCAAGAGCACAGTGTAGATATTTTTGAGAGCATTTCACAAGGCTTGAGCGAACGATTCAAACTCTTGTAGTCATAATCTTAAAAAATGAATTCTTCTTTCTTGTGACCACGATTCCTCTTTCTTCGACTTTCAGTTTTGAGAATTCCACGCCTTCTTACTTATTTCACAAAGTATTGCTGTTGAAACCAAAAATTATATGTTGATTAACTAATGCTTGAAAAAGAGGAAAAAACACATTCACATAGACAACAAAAATCTTCCTCTTTTAATCCTTATGCGGAAAAACTAAAAGGAGAAGTAAAAAAATAAACGAGACAAACAAAATAAAAAGAAGGCATGTTTGTCGTATGTATCTATGTAGCGGTTTCTTTTATCGACAAAAAAGGGAGTTTCTACAAAAAAGAATAAACTATTGTTTTACATCTTGTTGTACGTGAATAAATTTGAAGTAACGCACGTGTTTACATTTTCGTATCTTCTCTTTTTCGAGTGATATAAGATTGGCAGGATGGCTGACGATAAATCTTATCGTTATAATCTTTATAATCTTTGTTCATTTGCGTATACCAACTTGTGCAAATTATATCGAGTAATGAGGCACAATGTGAACCCTATACTTTCACTTCAATCATGATTGATTTGTTTCCAAATTAAAATCTTGGATGATCATAAAACTGATCCAGAAAAAGGCGTGTTTTGATAGAATGACTGGAAAAGAAAAAAGTTGAAGATGATTATAAGGAAAAACCACTACTTTGATTGGTTGAGACCCAGGCTTCTGGTGAGGAAATTCGTCATGAGGCGATAAAGATGGCGCCGCGTATGAAATCCAACTATCCCGTGATCCTTATCGGTGTAATACTGCGGAAAGAAGAAACAAAACGAAGTCATGGCGATTCACTGCGGAATACAACACGGAACGAGGGAGAACATTTTACCCTTGGGTCGGTATTGTTTTGCATCACACTAACACTGACGTTGCATTTTTTTCTTCTAAGAGTGTAAAATTTGGGGGGGGGGGAGTGGGCGAGAGGGAGAGGCTAACTGAGGTGAACAAGCACCCCATCCAGGGTGGGGCTGAAACCTGATCAATGCTGCTTCTTAGCTACCGAACGCTAGAGAGGCAGATAAAGTCATTTACGAAATCGTCAGTTCCACAAAACCACAAGATCTGCTTCTTCTGATATGTACGCTTCTGTAGTGCCTCTAGTCTCGATCCCTTGTCACAGAAATCGGTGCATCCGCATTCCTGTGTCGAGAAGATCGTGGGCGCAACGAAATGCTCGCGGCTGGGGACGACGACTTAGCGGGGGGTACAACGGAGGGAACCGAAAGTGTGCCGCGCACTTCCTGTCTCCTCCGGCGCCCACAGAGTTAAGCACAGGTCTCACCTGAACTCTGAACTTGACCTCTGCTTCAGTAAGTGCTCTTACCATCTGTGCTGTGTGCTGGTAATGGACATTGTCTATTTATGAAAAAAAAAATACAAACAACCAAAAAATAAGTGAGAAACAGAAAAATTCACATCGCATTTCACTTATTACTTACGTATCCATCTACAAAACACGGTGAGCCACACCAAAAAAAATGAAATTTAAGATGCTATGGTGTACAGGCTCTTAAACAGGTCATTACGATTGACAAAGATGTTGTCCTTCAACACTCGTAACTAGTTGTATCAAATGGAAGGCTGACTTCATTGGCCCTTGCGGATTTTTAACTGAATTGCACAAATCAAAAGTATTATTGTTATCACATCCTTACCATCCGCAGCACCGTGGATTATGAGGTAGTCTACGTTGGAAAATTGAGCAGCCCTGGAGAGTAGCGATGTGTTCTAAGAAATATCAAGATTATCAATCGACGATTAGCTCTTGTTTTCTGTAAACATATGTTACTACTTTTAAACTATTCATAGCTTCCCTCTCTGCTTTTAGAAGACGATATAATAGCATAAATTTGCGCTTTGGTGAAGTTAAATCATACCTAATACGCAAATCATTTCTCAATTTGGTTTTCTCTGGAGAGTACTTTTAAATTCAACCTAGAGAGAAATGATCAAAGACTGTCATAAAACTTACTCTGTAGCCGGCTTCGTTATCCTTTGGGACACCCATGTAGCGCTCTGTGTAAGCTGAATCTATAAAATACACCACAGCAAATGTTTGAAGGAGAGTAACATTTCGTTTCCTTCGGTGACATAGCTTCGGTCACGCAAACGACGTTTCCTTACCATAGTATCTCCAGTCCGTGACAGGTGCCACAGCAATCCCACACTTAAATACACCGGAATTCTTGCTAAGGACGTAACTTGTCAAAAAGCCGCCAAAGGACTAAGGAAAAAGCAACCAGAAGATTAATTTGTAAAGGCTATCGGAGAGAACGACCTCAAACGTTTTCTTTGTTAATACATTAAGGTTAATCGATCGTTGTACAGGAAATAGCTGGTAAATACCAACCCAGCCCCAGACAGATAGTTTTTTTGGATCGACGTACTTCTTCTCTTGCATGTACCTGTGTAAGGAAACAAGGTATAAGTTGGTTTTGTTTGTCAGCAACAAGATAGAAGTTGGCTTTGTTCAGCGTCTTACCGTCCAGCCGTGATGACATCTTGCGCTTCATATTCTCCAAGTAACTTGTAAACAGCTTGTTTGAAACTAGAACAGAGCAAACATTTCTTTAGTAAATTGCTTACCGGCTGATCATGACGACAGTAGTAAATTGCGAATGAGGATGAAGAAGGGAAGTTAGTGAAAAGTTGTCGCTGATGTTGATAGAGTTGACGAAGGGGATGATTGGGAGAAGGAAAAAGAGAAGGAAAAGAATGATCTTTAGCTTATCCTGACGATGAGGTGGACGATGATGATTGAAATATTAATGAAGAAAATGAGGAGGAAAATGAAGAGGAAGATGAATGACGAGGACAGCAATCAAGATGACGAGCTAGAGTTATAATGATGAAGACCACGAGGACGGCAACGACGATGACATCGAGGAAGATGAAGAGGAGAAGAACGAAGAATCAGACACACAAAAAAGAAGAGTACATGAAGGATACGAGGATGATGAGGTCAGGTGATAATGATATCAGTATTTCACTAACTTTCACTTACCTTTCGCCTCTATTTCCAGTCCCTCGCCCGTCCACCATTACCACAATAATATCAAAGTTACTGACCAAATAGGCAATCCAGCCAAGTTGTTTAAAAAACAGCTCGGTAACCTGAAACACGAAAAATAAATTCATACCAATTAATCAAGACTGTAATAGCGCAGAAACCTAACGCTACGCTTGGGAAGACTTCAGACTGAGCGGTCTGGGTTCAAGACCTCGCTCAGGCTACAGAGTGGTGTTATTGGATAAGACATTTCGTTTCTCGTTTCCACAGGCACGATTTATCCACAACTTCCCAGAAAAAAATGATTTCAAATAGTTGCTTGAAACAAACCCTTTGTGATCCAGGACCTCCATACCTAACAGAGAAAAAAATATTTGAGAGCTATTTACAAAACAGATTGAACCGAATTAGGTTAAAGCGCTCGAGAATTTCCACGCCTCATAAATAAGTGATGGAGTGATCCAAAGTTTAAAGACAAAATTTACTTACACCTCAAAATGAACGGCATATTTCTTATTTTCGTCAAAGTTTGGAGGGAGAAATTCAGTGGCTAGTAAATCTGAAAAATAAAAATGAGACAAAGCAAAGAAAATTATTATCAAAACACCCCTACACAAATAATGGCTGAAATATCAAATTAAACAGAAAAATTTCACCTGCACCTGAGAATCTATGCGAATGTGTACGACAAAATTTTTTTGGTCAGTCCTGTTCGACAGAAGTGCGTTCGTTTGACGAATCAATGTCAGTATCTAAGCAGCTGTGCACCTACCCCTCCCCTAACCCAACAACGGATGACAATTTAGGGTTGAGTTACGGGAGGGGTAGGTATGCAATTACTCAGATACAGAATCTTACCGTATTTTCCAGCGGGAATCTTAAAGTTTCTTCTTTTTGGAGTCGCAAGTTCAGACATTTTTTTTTCTAACGCCCTGTTCATCTCTAGATCTTTGTACCAAGTAGCTGAAAGAAAGCACATTTTATCAGACCAAATACAGAAGAAACGTTGCACATACTTAGGTAATGAAGGCAGTTCCTTAAGAAATCTTTCAATAGCTTAATTGATGAACAAGAACTAAAGAATTTACTCACAGGAGTTGGTTTTGTGTAAAGTGACCCTTGGAACATTCGGTCCTGGGAATAAAAGAAAAGAAAAACGTACCTACATTATCATAAACCAGAATATTTCAGACAGTCTGTCAGACTCTGTCTTAAGTAAATCACCGAATTATTCTTGATTGTACTATTCATGGAGCAGATTTCTTTTCCAACATTTCTAAGTGAAAGTCAGCCATTTGTTGAGAGCCTACCGTAACAGGTTAGAATGTACCAGCTGGCTTCGAGACTAAAGCTCGCTGAAAAATATTTGCAGTCCCCATCTAAGAAAAGAAAAAACACATAGCCAGATTTAAGAGAAAGAGAAAATTGTTTGAGCTTGTCTTCAAGGTATTTCGGCGATTTTGTAGCTCAAGCTTACACTTATTGCATACTGGATTTGTGACTATGCATGTGATACCGCTAAGACTGAGTTTTCTCAGTGTACCTTTAAGTTAGCAAAGAGATGCATTGACAGGAAAGTAAAGTATTGATTATTTTAAGGTAAAATCGACATTTCGTTTCTTTCCCATGAATTAAAAAAAACCCTGATGTACCCTTCTAGCATTAAATTGGATGATTTACTTACTTTCGGCCCAAGGCAAAGAGCATGACAGACATTTCTTTTCTTTCGTTTTTACATTCACGCTGTTAAGTGACGGATAAAAAAAACAAACGTTAGTCATTCTCTTTCCTGTCGTCATCCACGCCGATTTCCTGCGATATTTGATCAACTCATGGTGCGACCTTCACTGAATACAACAAGAACAGTGTTTACGATTAGACAGACGCAAAACCTGCGCAAAAACTTGGATACGATAACTACGATGAGACCTGGGACGAGCTCTGCCACGTAATGAGTTCAAAGGCGTTTATATGCTGACTTCTAGAGTCGATTTTGCTGATCGAGAGCGTTTTGTTGAGTGACGGAGAGAGACAGATCAGTATTGGTTGTGTGTTCAATTATACGAGAGTTGAAAAAGTGCATACGACTTGTAAAAATATTACAAAATTATTGACTTCTACCTGTAAATATGTCTGTCTCTAGGCGATGTTTCTGCACTCTGAAAATACCTGTGGGTTAAAATAAGAACTATCAAGAAAAAAAAATAAGTATCATCAAATTCCGCGCTAAAACTCGGGGTTAAGTTGCCAAGTTCGATCAATAAACCCCTATAACAAACATTTCGTTGATGACAAATCTACTCTCTTTGCACGGGGTGGGGTGCGAGGGGAAAAAATGGGATGCGCCTCACGACCAAGAAAAATAATTAATTTGTCCTCTCTATCGCCAAATAACCTAAGTTGGCACTCCATCAGCCGTGCGTGATGGACTGAATATGGTATAAAAATAAACGAAGAGGCAGTTCTTAATATCTTTAAGCACTCAGTGAAACAAAGTAAACGATGTAGTAGGTAATGAAACGAGGAAATTAGGAAATAAAACGAGATAAAACAAGGAGAGAGATCACGAAACAAAAGAAATGAGTAGAAGAATTCAAGAATGACTTACACTGTTTCGGTGTCTTTCTTAAACGCCAAAATTTTGACGACTTCCCATGTTCCAAAGGTGAGAAAGGTGATGTTGTCTTTCCCTGAAGGCTGTAAATGTAATGGAAAAAAACCAAACAAACAAACTACATGAAAACGTTTGCGTTCTTCCTTTCTGATTTGATCAATATTGGTCAATGCAACTCAATAAAGTACTGCGAGTTAGGAGATACAGACCCATGTGGAGTAGTTACTTTTTCTTTTAAAAAAAAAAAACCATACCAGTGCCAGTAAGACAATCTTGGGTCTCCTTGTCGCCTCTGTTAGCTTCTCTTCAAAACCCTTCCCCAAGGAAAACCATTCACTTAATTCACAACGAATTCTTAGTAAGAAAGACCTTACAGAACTGCACATGCTCACTTCTTAAAAACCTAAATTTCTCAGCCGTTCACCGAACCTATTTAACCTTTTAACTCCCAGAAGTGATTGACATGTACCTTCTCCCTACAATATCCATACATTCTTCAGCAAACAGGTAATAAGAATATTAAAACTCATCAGGTACGAGACATTAACTTGATCGAACACTAAATTCTCGTAACCAATTTACAAGGAAATGTGTAGTAACTAGAAGGGAGAAGTAACGATCAGATCTTGGGAGTTAAAGGGTTAAGTTCATCAGTACTTACAGTGACCATGACTTGCGCTACATGAATGAAGCTTCCATCGTTTCCTTGTGGTGAAGGTATGAGAGTCACATAATAAGAGCCATCTTTTGAGAACCACGGGTTCGGGGGCTGTAAATAACAGTAGTTATCAGTCATTTCACATTTCCTATGTTTAATCGTGGGGCGCAGAGTGATTACATTTAGAAAATATTTCGCAACGACATTGATGGCACAACTAGCTAACAGACCTACCAGGTATGTTTTGGTATCCACCCAACCGTTTGTCACCTGAGTTCTTTGATTCTGAAAGGAAAAATGATTAAAAAACAACAGAAATAACAATTATAAGATAGCTTAAAGGAGAATTTCCGGGCGCAATATTAATGACGTGAACTATATGTAGGAATTGATTCATTGACCGATAGTTTTTACCTACAGCCTCACAAGTGCAACAAGCAGGAATTGTTTGTGCAGAAATAACGCGAAAAATTTGTCTTCATTTAAAGACGTAATATCATCTGAGAATGCGTTGTATGTTGTTACCTCGGCGCAGTTCCCGGATGGAGCGTCACAGATGGATGCAATAGAAGTGTCCTGAACTCTGTTCAGCCACCAAACTAACACTTTACTATTTGACGCCCATCCCACGTTAGTGTAGTAATGTTCTCTGATAAAAAAAAAAGATCACTCAAACATGAGAATATCCCAGAGACAAACATACGACTGTCATGATGACTTCCGTTTAAGTTGTCGAACTTCAGTCACTACTACCTACGCAGATCTCTCCTCTCTTCGCATACGATCAAAGCACACGATGAAATGTTACTCCTGGGATCAAATATTTCTTGAATAAATGGAAAATTAGGATAAATGCAGAAGGTAGCAGAAGGTTAGAGAAGAGGGAAGGGGCTTAAGGAGAATGGGGACGAATGGAGGAAAGAGGGCATCTTTAGGTGGGTACTGACCATTCAGCCGACGTAAATATACATGTATCTACATTTTTCCATGATTCAAATTTCAAATCTTATATCTCATAGAAGCACATCCCACATCCAATATCCCATATCTCACACCTCACACCACATCTCATATCTCATATCTCGTATCTCGTATATATTCTCACACCTCACCTCACACCACATCTCATATCTCATATCTCGTATCTCGTATATATTCTCACACCTCACCTCACACCACATCTCATATCTCATATCTCGTATCTCGTATATATTCTCACACCTCACCTCACACCACATCTCATATCTTATATCTCGTATCTCGTATATATTCTCACACCTCACCTCACACCTCATACCTCATATCTCATATCTCACATCTCATATCACATATCTCAAAGCTCATACCTCAAAGCTGAAATCTCATATCTCACATCTCATCTCTCACATCATATACCGACAAATCTCACGTAGTTGTTCGTAACAAGCAATGAAGCACTTACACGTTTGTAAAATCAGCTGGTGGATTTAAGTCCATGGTATTAGGCACTTGGCTTTTATTCGATGGCAGCTTGTTCAAGTCCACCATTTTGATTTTTACAACGGGATTTGGTGAGCCAGGTTTGGGGTAAGCTATCTTCTTCACTGTGGTGTACATATCAGAGTATTTACCGTACCACAGGTAAGAAAACCACTTTACTTGAGTATCATTAGACTGTGCGTAAGCCAGGTATCGGCCGTCCGGGGAGAACCACATGGCTACATTTGTGGACGTAACGTCCTCTATGAATGAAAGTTAAGAAGGTGTCTTTAGGAAAGTTCACGAGAACTTGAAGTCAACGTCGACACCGCTCTATGTAATGCTCATTATGGAGAAACTTACACAGACCACTACAAAGTAGACAGGAACGAGTGTTAAACAGTCAAATGTTACTTGCCTTCGTACACCCAATCAGGGACGCCATTGAAGAGCTCGTTCTCTTTTCCGTTGTCAGTTATGGTATGGACGGTGCCTCCAATTTTGTCCAACCAGTAAATATTATTATCTTGTACAAAGCCCTTTCAGTCAGAAAATTGCGAGAAGTATTATAAAATTGAGAGTGTCAGACAATCTTCCGACCCCCCTCTCCTTCTCAGGAGTGTCAATTTCTGATAAAACGATTGGGGAGAAGGGTGGGGATAGAGGTTCTTACCATTAAAGGGGGTAAATTGGTGTATAAGTGCCGGTTAGGAAAATTAGCAGTGTAAAACTCTAATAAACGACGCTAAAATTATTGCGACACCGAATTTACGGGAAACATGAGGTGGTTGAACAGATCAATGCTGGGAGTAGTAGGCTTTCGTGATACATCAATAACTTACAGGAATTATGGGCCTGAAAGAAGTCATCTTAGTTTCCGCTGTTCTTTTAGATATGGCACGAAGTAGGTAAGACAAGTTCGAGCTATACGCATACAAATGAAGCGATTCTGTTGCATTTTGGTAGTTTTAAGGTCTCTATGGGACGGTGTAGAATTCTTTAGAGATTACTTACTATAGAGGTGTCATTGTTTCCCCATATAGCTAACTGAATCTGTTTATTTGGGTCAGGTGGTATAACTCGAAAAGTTGATCTGAAACGAAGGTAGACAAAACGGAACTAAGTGGCGTTAACTAAGAATAGGAATCACAGTCAACTTTCTTATTATGTTCTTAAGAAAATATGCTAAACCTGTGATTCTACTTCGGAATTCCAGTTTCAAAGCTTTGTCTTAATGTCTCTAAACTGGAATGCGAAGTTAAAACTAAGAGGACATAACAAAAGATGATAGTTTTTGGATCTGTTTTCCATCATAAACAATTGTTTAAAAAAATTTCTCTACAAACCCCTTTTCAAAGTTGTACACATAGTAATCAGCGAAAAAAGATCTCCGATACAACTGAAAGAAAAACATAAAAATATATTTTACTCTTTTGCCTGAAAGTCAAGTTAAACTAGCTTCTTGAACGGTGACGGTTGTATTACTAAAGTAAAATATTAAAAGTTGTCTCAAGCGTGGGGCGAAGAACAGTGATGGTTGTATTTCTAAAGGATAATATCCAAAGTTGTCTCGGGCGTGGGACGAATAAAACTTTGGGAGTCCTGTGTGAACTCGAAGCCCCTTACGGTTAGATGCCCTACTAAGCTACATGGAAATCGTTGGCGAGCTACACCGTACTCCGGGTATCATGGGAGTAAGTCATTTAACCTGCTTTTACGCATGGATAAGGCTCAAAGCTGTACTGTTAACTGAACTATTACTAGTCTGTGTCATCTGGGATCTGCTCGAACATAAACCCAAATTTAGAACCTCTTGCATAACTCTCTTGTATCTGAGATACGAGAGTTATGCAAACTCGGTGAACGATAAAACAGCCTACGTAAGTGACTTTTTGGCGTAGGGAGAGTTTTCCTTTCTCGAGTTTTTATAAAAAGAGTAAAGTTTGTGCCGCACGCGAAACCGCTGCAAATCACGGACCCATTTAATCATCCGATCGATTGAGGACGAAAAAGAAATACATGATATTTTATGGGTTATACCTTTCTCTTGTTGGAAGCCAAAAGAACCCATTTTCCATTAGACGAAATCCAATAATTAGAAACGTTGAAATTATCCTATCATGAGAAAAAATAATCAACTTAAGTGATTCACATTTGCCCTCTTGCAACATCAAACCAAACTGAAATAGTTAATAGAAGGTAAATTGAGTTCTTCCTCGTAAATAACTGGGTACGTGACAGCTTCACAGAAAGTATAGTCACCTTTTTCGAGACGTTGTGTGACAAGGTATACTTTTCTCCTTGCGTGACATGTTCATCACAGGCCGTTTTGGTAGGGAGGAAACGCCTTAGATATAGACTTTCAACAATTATTGTAACAGGTAAAAATGTTAGAAGGAACGGAAACTAGCTAGTTATGTGTACTTACCAATATTTTTTTAAAATCAGAAAAAGGTACCGTGTCGTTTCTTAAAAGATTAGTCTCAGTCAAATTGCCCCCAGAATATCGGAGATACACGTCGTCTGAGGAAACAAATGAATTCATCAGAAGTTTACATTCTAGATGATGTAGAAAGAAGCAAAAGAAGCTTTAATAGGCTTTTGAACATAGAGTAAACGCAGGTGTAATTTTTGCATCATGGCACGTTCAGCGAAAAACTTTTCAAAAATTGGGTTGAAAAGTGGCAGAAAAAATAGCCAGAGTAGGCAGGAAGGAAATGGGAAGAAGGAAATGAAAGAGAGAGAGGGAAAGCGTGAAATTTCTTTTTTTAACAATTAATTTAATATTTAAGGAAAAATTTGAAAGGAGGGACATAAAAAAATTAAGGTATTAGTTGTAAAGACAGTTGTGTATTTGAAGCGAGAAGCAGAAGAAGATAAGAACAGATCTGTTCCAAACCACTACCTTATTGAGTTGCCTTATTTCCCACAGTTATTTGGCTCAGGTTTGCACCTCATGTTTCCCTTCTTCCTCCAATTTTTTATTCAGTTTCTAGGTCTCAAGAACCCTTCCAGGGAGGGAGAGATCTGGTGTTTATGCTACCCCACTCCCTACTAAAACAACGAGGTACGACCCTAAAGACACTAATGTAATACCTCCCCCAACTAAAACTTCTCGCCAACGCCTTTGATCCTCTTTACAATCTTTAACGTGAGTGCCTCCTGAATCGTTTTGTAGAACAATTAACGTGGCTTTTTTGCACTCACCTGTCTTCCATCGGACAGGAAATGTGGAGTAAGAGTAGTAGCTGTTGAAAATGTCGTCAAATCCGAACTTCTTCTTGAGAGTTTCTGATCCTCCGCTGGGTGCCTCAGTGGCTGCCAAAAAATATGTATATATATAAGATGTAAACAATTTCAAAATTTTTATTCTAAACTGGATAACCTTGGGACAGTCTTTTTAGCAGTCGTTGTCTGGTTACAACGCAAACTGCGAAACCAAGCAGGCCAGTCCTTACGCCGCACATTGACGCAGAGAGCTCTCCTGAAAACGACTTTTCAATATCTTGTTTAAACTGAAAACTAGATTCCATTTAGTTTAAAAATAATTACTAAACTTCATTCTTCTGGGTCGATTGCTAAGAATTTCCATCGAAATCGAACCATTCTTTTTACACTTGAAATGAAAAGGATCTCAAGGCTTGAGTGTAACTTAACCGTGTGTAAAAGCGTTGTGTGACATTTGGCGTTACATGACCATACTGGCGCAACTGTGTGTGGCCGTGGTAACACTGAGGTAAATAAATGAGATTTCGTTTGCTTAACTATTCTAAAAGAGATTAAAATACACTACGATAGAGGCCATGCCACCAGATCAGATATGAAACAAGATAAGAAGAGAAGACAGATTGTTACTCTCAGGTAAATCTAAAGAAATTAACTCCGTTCAGCGCCAGTTGTGCATAACCATCAACAATGTAACCATCTTTTCATAACCCAAATATTTTAGAAACTGTTTGCTCAACCGAACATTTTAAAAATAACACTTAAACAGTCATAGTTTTATGAAGGGATTGAGACGCTCCGAGAATAGTGGACCTGGTTGACAAACAAAAGAATCTAACTTGGAGCAGTGAAACATTTTACACGGATTAGCTAAGGGGTGTTTTGATCGTGTTCACAGTTTGAGAAAACAATCCGAATCTTAGCTCGCCCTCAAAAATACGTCATGTTGCATTTGCTGTGTCTTTATTTCAGATCTATCGAACTACAAAGCAAAGTCACAACAAACCTGCTTCCAAGACTTATAAAATAAAGGGAAACGCACACCTACACTCACATAAAATTACAAGGGTGGGGGGGACCGTTGAGGGTATGCACCTTAGAAGATAATTTCTCGTCAATGTTGCTCATTCAGACTCTTTACAAGTCTCTGAACTGTGAGAAAATAAAGCTAGTGTGCGATTTCCCCGGGCAGAGGCAACGCTTCGTTAAAGGTAGATCCATAAGCAGCGTAAGTAAATACCTGGCATTATCTCGACGTACACTTGCGTAACTCACCTTTTGTTCTCGGTTTCCCGGAGAGAGTGATGGCCAGAATCATTGCAACTCCAACGAGCACACTTACAACAATAAGTGGTATACCGAACTTAAAAACTTGCGAGTTGGTACGCATTTTTGTGAAGTAAACTGAAGAACGTTTCGAACGACTGATCGAACAAAGAAGAATAAACTTAATGACAGCAATCGGACGCTTCGAAAGAAAACTGCCCGTCAAATGAAACAAGATACTGCCGTGTGGCGTCTCTGCTGTGGTGTCTAGCAGTTGTCTCGAATCGGGTCACGCAATAACCCTTGAAATCAATTTTCTCACATCTAGAATTAAACTTTGAGTCAATTCTTGGAAAGAAAACACAGTCAAATGACAAAAAAAATCTTAATTTTTTTTTTAAGCTGAGGTCGTAATATTCTCGATTTTACTTTAGACGAACATTTTCTAAGAAATTGTCGTAGAAGTATGCATGCATACTCAAGGCCACCTGTTCCTTGTTAAAATGTTCACTTTCTTACTCTCTGAATTTCCTTCTACTATAAATTTTCAGTCTCACACATGTACTGTACTTCTTGCCTTGCCTTTTTTAATACCATGGCGGACGCAAAATTGCAATGCACGAATTTGAAAATTTTCAGCGACAAGACTCCTATCATAAAAGCGTGACAACCTTCAAATTGGGTGTCCACTGTTATATGAAACGTTATTAAAAAATTAACAAGACAAGTCTCAGTATTGAAAGAAAAGAACTAACACAGAATATAAAGTGGAAACAACCTTACTATATTTTCAAGGCTTACCTCTGGCTTCTTTACTGTCTTGATTTCTCGTCACTACGATTGCGACGATAACAAACAAAGCTAGGAACGATGACAGGAATACTGCAAGAATAATTTTCCAGCTACGTTTAAACCGCATTTTCAGACAGTTTTCCGAATTTTTATCCGCCGATTCCGCCATGACAGTGAAACAACTTGATACGCAAATGTAGTTTGACCAGCGCCTGTCGCAGATTCCTTCCGGTACCCCACTGACAGAATTGCCAAAAATTTCTGATTTGGTTTATCGATATTGTTTTACGTACAATTATTCAATTTACAGACAATAGTTTTCCCACTGAGAAAATAAAACGGTCCAGAGGTCAAAACAAATCTAAAAGACATCCCGGATTGTAGTGTGATTTTTGAGGTCTGAACAACAACAAGTTCACAAAAGCTCTGAGAAAAGTCAGAGTGTAAAGATTTATCTTCCAGAGTAAGAATGTAAATTTACAAATAGCAGATGATTTAAAACATTTTTCTCCTTTTTAAGTGTTGATGCACACTTTGAAAATAAAGACCAAGTATAACTTTACACATTCCAACCTGTCTTAAAGCTCTTCTTTACACCCTAACATCATTATGTTAGTTCTCCTTACTGTTCTCTATACATTTCCTATGGTGCTTGAAAGGAGAATTTGCCGAACAATCAAGAGCTTCTTGTGTTTAGCAACATTCAGGAATGATTCTGTTAAAAGAAATTACCAGCAAATAGTTATTATTCTTAGGGGTTAACCCACTGACCCCCAAGAGTGATTAGCAGCTAATTTCTCCTTACAATATCACCCCTGAATCACACATTAAGGTCACGAGAATAAAGGAAATGATCACTAATCAAAGAAGCTCTTGATTGTTAAACAGTTTCTCCTTGTAAGAACCTTAGGAAATGTATAGAGAACAGTATGGAGAATATGCATACTGATAAAGGGTGCATAGGGTTAAAGGGAGGACTGGAACTGAAAACAAAATTAATCTTCAGTTTAGTATACATTTATTACTGAGTCATAACCTAAGATTTCTATTCATTTATTTGAAAAACTCACACAGAAGTACAGAAGCTGTCAATGCAGTACATACTAGTGATGTAAATGTACTTGCCTTGGTCCACCACTGTGTATTTTCAGCAAATTTGTCGGGTACATGCTGTGTTGAAGGTTCCACAGAGTCACTGGTAGAAAGAGACCTATCTTTAATGGACTTAACAAGTCTGTCTAGCTCCTCAACAGTTCTCTCTTTGCATTGAAGAACAGAACTGTCGAGTGTAACTATGCTTTGTTGTAATGTCTTCAAATCTTCCTTCATTTCATACCGATCAATTTTCAAGACCTCTAGAACTGAGTCAATTCTTGATACAACACTGTTTATCAGCTCTTCAATATTACCTTGGTTTTGACTCATGGGAGAGTGTGCACTCTTAAAATGCTCAGGATCCAAAGCTGGTTGAACATGGATTCCCAAGTCCTTTAAAGGATCCGAAATTAAATCTAGAGTAAGTAGGTTTAACAAACCTGCTAACTCTTTAAATTTTTGCTCTAATAATTTACTTTGTGTAGATAAAGATTCCTTTAAATCATTTGTCTGGCTCCCTATTTGATTTTCCTGTCCTTTTACCAGATCAGCAAGCTCATCAGTCTTTCCTATCAATGTGTTCCCAGTTTCCTTGATGGAGTTCTTGATTTGCTTCAAGCGGATGTAGTTCACCAGAGTTGAGCCTAAGATTCCTGAAAATAAAGGAAAATGTCAACAGGTAAAATTACAACAAATCAGAGTTATTTACCTCTTAGACTCCTAAGATCTGAAAGCTCAGTCTCCTAACTAACTCGCAAATATATACTCAATAGACCTGTTAGAGTTGTACAGCCACAACAAAACTAAAATGCTCTACTATTGCAATAATGCTGTATGACGAGTGCTTATAAAATTGCATGCAGTACACTTGAAAGTGATTCTTCGTATATTCAATCTTGTTGACTTCTACCACACCCTTAATACTGGCCCAGGTGCCCTGTTTTATGCCAGATCTTCTTTGTCCAAGCTTTCACTCCCATGATCTGAGTATCAATTCTCACTACTGTCTGCAATAAATTTTTCATAATATTAGATTTGAGAATTTCTTGTTAAATCAAACTATATTCCCTGGTTTACATTTTCATAACATCTTACCATTTTTCAGCCTGAAAGTATATCAATCTTTTGAGGAAAAATTCCCTTTTGATAATTATTCACAGTGATAGGGCTTAGGGCCAGCATACTTACCAAGTGCGGCACCACCAATAGAGCCAATCACAGACCAGTGTTTAGTCCTTTCCACTCTTGCCCTTTCTTTCTCGTGGGAGTCCCTCACAGCTCCTGACAGGATTGCAAACTGGTCTCTTTCCACAGCTTCCAAATCTTCGTATTCACCTTTCAACTTTTTTTCCTCCAGCAGAACCTTGTGTTCTTCTGTCGCTAAAGCTAGATAACGTTCGTCGTCTCGAGGAATCCGGTCTAACTTACAGCGAATGTCCCTTAGCTTTTCTTGCGCTGAATTCAGGTTTGATTTCGCGGACTGCACTTTACCCCGGGTAGACATAAATTCATTTTCTGCCTTTTTCACACCTGTCTGAGCTTCTTGTACATCGGAGATCCCTAAAAGATCATCCAAGGCTTGAAAGAGCCCGCCAACTTTCTCGTAAGAATTTTTCACCGCACGTTCACTCTTGATGGAAACGGCATTAGAAATCTTCGAGAACCACTGATCAGGCAAGTTACGGTTATTGAGAATATTTGTCCCGTGAACGAATCGAAATCGTATAATTTGCTTTGTCTTAGCATTGATTTGAAAGCAGGGTGTGGTACATCGACTGCTTGTATGAAACAATAGTCTAGAGAATAACATTCTAACCGTCACAGAATTTGGAATTTTTTCAAGATTCATATGTGCAATCGGTCCGCCATGTTTCTTCACCCTATTCAAGAAAAGACTGGGGCGAGGAAAAAAAAGGTTTAATCTGACAATGTTGAGGGAGGAGAGGTAAGGAATATTTTTCAAACAGTTTTCTTCGTAACAGATAAATATCCAGGATATATAAAACTAAAATTATTGAAAAATTAATGGTTTAAAAATTAGTTTTCTGAGTGACTGAGAATACCAACAATTTTTTTTTTCTGAACCAATTTTAAAATTTAAAAAAGCTCGCCCTACCCCATCCTCACTACGAAAATGGTTTGGTAGCATAAACCCCAGTTACCAGTTACCCTCGGTATTCAGATGAAAACATGGCGACACCAAATGTGGGTCGCATGCAGTGTTTGTTCTCTCATGTTTCCAATTATCGCCAATACCACGGACTTCAGCAAGGGACATTTGTTTATTTAAGATTCACTGGAATTATTTACAATCGAAATGATGGTTTTCAAAAGAACTTTTCGACATCACCGAGAAATGCAGCGAGATCGGCAGATTTGTCGAGATATCAAAAATTCCGCAAAGTTATAAACACATTTGTGGCTGGAAGTAAACAGCTAGGAAAAGATGTAAAAGTGATGTTTCAGATACAGCGAAAATTAAAGAGTAATAATTACAACTGGGAGGTCTTGAAAACAGAGGAAATATTACATCTACATCAGGTGAGAATGGTAAATTTGAAAGAGCTTTTCTTTTGCGAGACAAGTCCTATGAAAAGTACTGGTACATGTCTTTGTTGAGGTTACAGTAAGCTTATGCATTTCACAGACAAGAAAAGATCTTCTGAAGAGTTTGCCTGTGGTTGTGGGATTCTTCATTCCATTCTTGGGTTATGCAGTTCCATTTGTAGCGTGAGTGTTTCAACAATTAAATCATTGTATAGATTGCAATGTACAAAATTGCTGTTTTTAAATTTAGTTATTGTTATTGGATTAGGAAAGATTATAGCCCCATACTATTTTAAAGCAAAGCTATTGTCCCAAATACAATCTGTCACTTTTGCAATTGTCTTCTTTAGTCAAGAACGGTGTGCATAATGAAGTATGGGGCTGTGTGGAAATCTTTTTTCACTTAACACTCCTAAGTCCATTCCATATCCTAAGTCCATTCCATATCATAGTCATATTCACTTTTCTGTAAATGAGGTTGAAGCTTCTTCAATAAATGATTTGTGCTTAATTCTGGAAACTTAATCAGTCAAAGTCAACTCTCATGTCCATTTTTAACCCTTTAACTCCCAGATCAAATTTGTAATTCTCCTTACTGTCAACCATACAATTCTTACAATGTTAGTTCAGAGAATTTAGTATTGGATCAACTAATTATCCTCAAGATATTTTTCCTTTAATCTCATCACTTACCTGGTTGATATTATATTGATATTGTAAGGAGAAATTCTGTTTGGTCACTCATGGGAGTGAAAGGGTTAATAGGATTATGATCAAAAAGGATAATATAAATTTAAGCTGTTCTTGTGAAGTGAGAAAGATGAAATGCAAAGCAATAACAGAATTTGAAGCCATGACTAGTAGTAAGGTCCAGAGTAACTGACCCTCACCAACAGGGTAATGTCATATTATCAGCTAAGTTGATAACATAAATTGGCCATTGTAAAGAGTTTCAAAGCTGATGTTTCAAGTGTTAGCTCCTTGTTAGAGTGATGACAAAGGGCCATTGCTTGAAATTTCAGCTTTGAAACTCTACAGTGGCCAATTTACACTATCAACTCAGTTGAAAATACTAAAGTACCCTGTTATACTCTCCCTCCAACACAGCACCACAGTTTCTTTAGAATCTTACCCCCTTTCTTCAATCGACTCTCAGCAATCTTGACCTAAATTTCAGATTCCTTTATCCAAAACAACTGTTATCTCATCATTATTGGCAACCTCACCAACGTGAAAAATTTGCTCAGCAAGATGTAAGAAGACGACGAAAATATCAACTTCCTCTTGTTAGAGAAGTTGGAAGATTGGCCTTAAGATACAAAGCAAGCAGATATTCTACAGACCTGATGTCTACCTCAGTTAAGGTATGGGAAAGGCTGAATTAACAAATAGATTCTATGTTGTCCAGGGTCTGTTCAGTTATAGATCACAAATGATGTTAAAATGTGGTACGAACAAAAATAGTGGCACACGCAGCACAGCCTAAGGATATAACACAATGACCAAGCTCTTTCTTGGCCCAGACCTCTCACCTTTGGGTCCAGCACACTAACTGTTAGGCCAGCCTGTCTCTCTTGCTTTTTTTCTTAAAATACCATTTATTTTTCATTTAGCATCTCAGAGGGCCAGGGTCTCAAATTCTTGAATCTGATGAGCTCATTGCTTGTTCATAACCAGTACAGCCTTTTACAATACAAGCCATAGTCCAGAATTTTATCTGCACCATTTACAAAAAGTGGAAAAAAGCAAACCAGCAGAATAAAATAGATATGTAGTTATTACTAGTCAAGGTTGGTCCATTTGGAAAAAACTAGCAGAGGGCCATACTCAAGACCTTGGGACCAGTAAATAATTTTATCACTTGAGGATGAGTGACTCACTGCACTTGTTTATATTAGGCTGTAAACAAAAAGCATTTGTCCAATGAGGAGCTGTTGCAAATGGCTGAATTCTTTGAAGGGAATCTTCTTGGCTTTGATCACTTACCACGCTACCATCTGGTGAGCAAATGAATTTCTTGTTCATTCTTTCCCTCATGCATGGTAAAAGTTTTAATTAGCAAATCTTTTGGATCAAGGGAAAATTTAAGAGAACAGCTGTCTACATCTTTATTGTTTGATTTAAAATCAGATTTTTGATCTCTCCTTCAGATGCTAATCACAGGTTTCATTTCTGGTGTAAAATTATTTTATCTGTTAATCTGTGTGTTTTTTCATTCCACAGAGAAAACTTAGCCAAGTGTGGTTAATTACTCCTTGGCTACCCAAGTCATTTTTGCGTATTCGCTTAAAGCGTTTGGTAAAATCAATTAAGAGGGAAGATGCTGCTATAAAGAAAGAGGGACTTGCGAATCTCCAAGAAGATCAACTGAAAGTGGTGAGAGAGATTTCTGATTTAAGGATCTTTCCTAGTTCCTCACCCTCTCTTAGGCCCAGTTTAGATTTTATTATTTTTTTGTTGATTGTTGGCAGGTGGGGAAAAACGACAAAATAGAAACATAATTATTTAACATTAATGTTGGCCTGGGGGCAAACATAACTGGTGGTCTAACTCCTCATTTTCTTACTCATTTCCAGGTGTGTCACTCCAGAGGTCTAGACACAACTGATGTTGACCCAGAGGCACTGGTACAGTGGTTAGCAGAGTGGGTGGAGTTGTCTGATGCTGCAGGAGGTAATATTTGAATTACAGACTGAAAAATTGATTTCATGAACTGGATGTTTTAGGCATTCACATGTGAACATTAAAAGGCTGAGACATGACAGAACTCTGTTAAAATTTCCATTTAGTGTGCTGCTCCCTAATCAAGTCACTGCAGCATGATTAATAGCTCAAACTCTACCCACTTTCAATTGAATATATGAGAATTAATGTGGGGGAAAATGTGTCAACCCTGGATGACTTCTGCAAACTGAGGCAGAAACATTGAAAGTGAAAAACTAGCCTCTTAAAAGTATTACTTGTTACTCAAAAGAAAAAAATTCAATGAACTGACTGATTTATTTTTAACAACCAGGATTCACAAACTACAATTTGGCTTTGTTTGATGTTTTCTTTGTTTCTATTTTTTCATTAATTGTAATTATAGTAATTTAACTGTTTTGTGTACCCATTCTCTCTGTCTCTTTACAGACACAGATGAATCTTTCTTGGCTCATTGTGCTGTTTTTAAGGCCATGAATTATTCAAAAGACAGAAAAATTGGAGATCAAGATTTGGTTGTGCAAAAAGGGTGATGCTGAAGATGTTTAGTCTTCCTGGAAAATATAGAATATTTATATAGAAAAAACCTTATGACTTGTTAACAGCACAATTTTATTTTCTTTAGTAAAGGGTGAGCACAAATTCACATAACATAAAACAATTTATAATTAGCCTTCACTGAATTATTACAGTAAGTAATACTTAAACATTTGTGTTATTTCTGGATGTTATTTCTGGATGTTATACAAAAATGAAGGGTATAGTATGGTCATGTAAATTGTTCAAAGAATGTAGTTTCCTTACAATAAAACTTTTGTTACAATATCAGTGTGAATTGTTTATTTTACCCTGATTTTGCCCCATACAAGATGCAAGTATTTCAAAACCCAGCTCTATAGGGGGGCCGAGGCAGTGCTGTTACATTTAAACATACAAAGGAAACAGGAAAAGGCAGCATCTCCACATACAGTTGCATACAGTTCTTGGGTAAAGAAAGCTATAGCGGAAACAGTAGATTTCTTTTGGGACTACATCGTTGTCTTCGAGTAGTATGGGGTTGTGCAGGAAAGTCAGCTACCCTTAGTTCTTAATGAGATTTATAAGATATAATCATTTAGAGCACAGACTCTTTACGTAATAGCTGTTTCGACAGCTAATTTCATTCGGTGCCGCACCGGAAGTGTTTGCCACCCGAAAGTCTTTGCGATTCAAACACTTCCGTTTTTGGTTTGTGGGAAATGGTAAATTCTACATCCACTGTACAGGGTGTGAGTCCTATTTGCATGATCAAACTCTCCCTCCATTTAGGAAAAAGGCTTTGTGTTTCTCGAAAATACCTTTTAATCTTCTAACCTCCATTCCCGTGATTCCTTGTAATTCCGCTTACATGTTTTGTGGACTGCATGTGGATCAAAGATGACTGGCAAGCTTGCTTTAAGACTATATTTAACTGGTGTGATGCCTGGGTTAGAGACTCCAGTACATTTCGCTGAAACAGCGGCAGATTGCTACGTTGATAATAGCGGAGCTCGCAGAGCGTAGCCCCATAATTATACAAAATAGTAGTAACACATCAAGCCGAAAAAATTTGGATGTACGACCGCACGACAGTACAAGGT